GGAAATGTTTGATAAAAATGTCATGTTTATTGATCTAATATTGAATGATGATGATGATTGATTACAAACCACGTCAATAATCAATCTGCCATGAACCAACTGCCCAAAGCCAGAGTGCTCAGCCCACCGGTAGCCATGACAGGATATTTATATGGACTGTTTCCCATATACACTGCTGAATAAAAGGTACAACCAGCCGTGCCAGTTGCAGCTACGCCAAGAATACTTTTCTCAATATCTCTTGTTGCTTCCAGACTTTTTGCCAACATCCTCTGTTGCATTCTGATTTTCTTTTCCAACCCTGAATCACATTCAATATAATCGACCATCAACCAAATAGTGATGAGCATCATGCACATCATCATCATGCAAATATGCCACATTTTCAATTATATCAATAATATCGATAGTCAATTGGGTAACAATCAATACACACTATTCACTATTCACTATACAATTCAACTAACAAATTATTAATTACCATTGGAAAGCCCATCGATCCGTTTAAATAGAGCAGAAATGCTGATTGTTATTAAATTCAATTATAACAATGTTTATTCATTTCATTTGTGTTCATTTGCATTTTCCAATCAACCGGGTACACAAAATACCTTATCATCATTAAATCAATTATTAATTAAAATGTACAGACTAAAACCAGATCAAGTGGCAATCAATCCATCCTGGTACACCACACCGCATTTAATATAAATGGTGGCAAATCAAATCAATCGTTCATTTTGACTAATTCCATAAAGATGTTTTGCTTTTTGAAAATGAATCAACACACCGCTTGTCTAGCTTTGTTCTGTTTGATCATGATGGTGGCAGTGCAGGCTAATGACGAAACCAATGTCCAGTATAAAGATTGTGGCCATAATGAAATCAAATCGCTATATCTAAGTGGATGTAATGTTCACCAAAAATCCTGCATCCTTCACCGACATAACAAAAATCAATTGCGACTCGGTTTTGTGGCCAACGAAAACACTGGCAAAACGATTAAAACACGTTTTATTTGCAATCTGGCCGGTTTGGAAGTCGGCTGGCCTGGCATCGACGGTACTGATGCTTGCCAAGGACATGGTCTTTCATGTCCGCTTACCAAAGGCCAATCATATAACTATAATCTGGATTTCAGTTTGGGCGATGACGTTCCATTGGTAAGTTAACTCATTCAACATAGCAACCGCAACCACTTTAATTGTGATTTATTCGCACCCAACAGGTAAACGTTACCGCTACAGTGCGATTAGAAGATGAACAGGGTGGCAAATTGGCCTGCGCTCGTATGCACATTAGTTTGCAAGCTTAACGCATTTTCTTCACACTAAACAATTGAATAAAAATCCCCTTTCTTTCTGATCAAATCTCGTTTATCTCGTCAATGTTGGTCAAACTTGGCTAATCACTAATCAATATTCAATTAATGCAACAGGTTTTCGATTTATATACGCCATTCCACTGAATCGATCAATGCAAATTGGATCGACTAACGCATCATTTGCAAGTGAACAAATTCTTCAAACACATTATCAAGGCCAAATATACTAACTGCACTGCTAACAACGGCGTCGCTGCCATGGTGACCATGGCAGCACGGTAAACGGATCACCACCACCACTATAGTATATGGTGAATGTGGAGGAATGTTGTGTGAAGGGATTTTATCATTTAACCATCATTATCATTCATATATCATATATGATGCACCAACCTCAATTCTCAAACATGGGCGCGCATATCCATTCTGATGACGCAAATGTGCTGGAAAGGTAGTGGCAAATGGGATGCCTATTTGAATGAGTTTCATTAGTGAATGTTGTTTACGTATGTGGTGCTCACTCACATCACAACATAGACATCTGGATGCGAAGACGACCAAAACGACAACATAAAGGACCTCTGTTCGACTTTTGCTCGATTTTAGTGTTTACTGAAATAAGTTTTGTTTTGAATAATAATGATGATAATTCATTCATGATAATCGACAAATGAATTGAGCCTGTAATTAGTGATTCACTTTTTGAAACCCCGTTTGAATATTAGGTGAATATTTTGGTTGTGTTATTTACATGTTGGATTGGTTGAACAAGAACCACAATGGCCACCACCAACAACAATGCTTCGTCCGCCACGGCCAATACCAGTGATGGTGATGAACAGCAATCGTTACGTGAATGTGAAGCCTATGTACAACGACACAACATTCAACAAATACTCAAAGATTGTATTGTTCAACTTTGTGTCAGTCGACCTGAAAATCCGATCACATTTTTGAAAGAATATTTTGCTTCATTGGAACGAGTAAGTTTATGACTTGTGGTATTGCCATGGTTATTACCATAGTGTTTTATGGCACTAGACAGTCACTTTGTTTGAATATTGGCTCTCGTTCGTTTCTCAATAGCCTTCATTTCTATTTTGGTTTTTTTCGTTCTCTTTTCCCGAAAAACCATGATCATTTCTAGGAAAATCAATTAAATTCGCAACATCACCAAAAGGCACCAATGTCACCGGACACTGAACGTGATGAAGATCTATCTCCATTGCCCACAATAACAACTCGAACACGCCGTGGTGGTGTTTCGGCCGAAACCTACAGCGAGGAAGATGCCACCAATTATGTGAAAAAGGTAATGAATCAATCATGCATTGCCAGAAATCATTCTTTTGACCATAAATAAACACAGGTCGTTCCAAAAGATGATAAAACTATGGCTTCGTTATCGAAAACAGTGGAAAAGAATGTTCTTTTCCAACATCTGGATGACAGTCAACGAACCGATGTCTTTAATGCCATGTTTCCGGTGCATCATAAAGCAGGCGAATTTATCATGCGACAAGGCGATGAAGGCGACAATTTTTACATAATCGATGAAGGAACTGTGGAAGTAAGCATTGTCATGATGAATTGTTTAACATCACTTTATTAATATGTCATCTATAGGTGTATGTCAACGATCAGCTGGTATCCGCAGTGTCGGAAGGTGGCAGTTTTGGTGAATTGGCCTTGATCTATGGAACACCGCGTGCTGCCACTATTCAGGCCAAAACTAATGTCAAACTCTGGGCCATCGATCGAGATACATATCGCCGCATTCTAATGGGACAGTTTATCAAAAAACGTAAAATGTATGAAGAGTTTCTATCGAAAGTCAAGATTCTTGGTAAGTGAATGATGATTGAATGAATGTTTTTCAATTAATTTGGTTAATTTGATTGCAGAGAGTCTGGATTATTATGAAAGATTGACAGTGGCCGACGCATTGACGCCCGTTGAATTCGCCGATGGGGACATTATCACCAAACAAGGGGAGCCTGGTGATGAATTCTACATTATTGAAGAAGGAACGGCCGTCGTTCTGCAACGTCGATCACCCGATGCACCCGAAGAGGAAGTAGGTCGATTAGGACGATCCGACTACTTTGGCGAAATTGCACTCATTTTCAATCGACCCCGTGCTGCCACCGTGAAAGCGCAAGGACCTTTAAAATGTTTGAAATTGGATCGCGATTGTTTCGAACGACTATTAGGCCCTTGTGTCGATATTTTGAAACGTAACCTGGAAAATTACAATTCGCTCATCTCTTTGTCTGTATAATCGCATCACCATTTCGCAATTTCGCAGCTTTGTTTGGGCGCATCGATTGTTCTTGTATCATAATTCTTGGTCTGCAAAAAACACCTCTAATTCTATTGAAATGTTACACACTTTATACCTGTAGTTGTTACCACCCAGTCGTACTGCTCTTTCGCACACCACACACCACACACCATACACCACACACACACACACACAATACAAACGATCAATTTTATCATTTGTTTCTTCCGTTGACACAATAAAAGTGATCCATAAATATGTTACACTACTAGTCTGGCCATTGGCAAAGGACACAATTAATAATGATAATATATAGCCAGCCCCAGCGAACCCTTTCTCCACACCAATTGGATGAATATAAAATGTAAACTAAAACCAATCTTACAAATATTAATTAAATTTCAATTTCTTTAACAAACAACCTTTGTGAACGACACACTTGCTTGGCCACCGGGCAATGTTTTAGGAGGGGCTCGCCAAACTTGAGTTTGTTGTTGCTTGGATTCATTCATTCATTCAGACAAAGGATCCACACACTTGTGTGGTAGCTGTATTTTGGCTTATGTTTTGCGAGCAGCCACCAGTTGGCCAAAAAACCTTTCATCTTGCTTGTTTGCTTCTCTCTCTCCCTGTATGTCTGTCTGAGATTTGTGTTGTCATCATTACAATAATCCCTCTCTCTTTCTCTCATCAGCAATTGCTGCGTGCGTGTTTTTGTGTTTTTGTGTTTGATTCGTTTGATTTGTTTGATTTGTGTTTGTTTGCCCATTTCAATTCGATCAATCTTTGCAACCGACCATCAGATATTTCACCCAAATAATTTTGTATGCTTGTTATCAATCAAACCGATATCCTGCCCAAAATCATTGATTTTTTCAAACATTCATCACAGCAATCGAAGTGACATTCGTAATTGTCATTCGATTCGTTTGGGTTGCGCGCCGTACTGTCACAAACACCGATGATCATCATGTCACCTGCTCGTACCGAAACGCTTTCCCAAAATAATCCAATCAACAATAATAACAATAACAATAACGTCAACAATAACCAACCAATGGAATCGGATTTTAAATACTTGGCCGTCGATCGTACGGTGGTTTCGGATCCCACAAAAACCGCCGAGTGGTCTGCCAAACGATTAGTATGGGTACCGCATGAAACACTGGGCTTCGTTGCCGCCAGCATCAAATTGGAACGTGCCGATGAATATGAAGTGGAAATAGTGGAATCCAATAAAAAATGCATCGTCAACAAAGACGACGTTCAAAAAATGAATCCCCCTCGTTTCAATAAAGTCGAGGATATGGCCGAATTGACCTGCTTGAACGAAGCGTCCGTTTTGCATAACCTCAAAGACCGATATTATTCCAGCCTCATTTACGTAAGTTCATCACATTCACCAAACAGCGCTCGAATTTCCCTTTTTTGTTGATTGTTTTTGTCAATCAACCAAATCAAAACAACAACAACAGCAACCTATACTGCAATCGCTTGGTTGTTGATGGGCGCTGGTTTGATTTCGTTCACTCTTTCACCAAACGATCACACTCGCTCATCGACTGATTGATAGTAATGTTTCCTTTTTGCTCTTTCTCCAGACATATTCCGGACTGTTTTGTGTGGTGGTCAATCCATATAAAAAGCTGCCAATCTATACGGATAAAATTATTGAACATTACAAAGGCAAAAAACGTCATGAAGTTCCGCCGCATATATTTGCTGTTACCGATGGTGCCTACCGTAGCATGTTACAAGGTATGATAACCTCGTCCTCGTCCTGATTGATTACCATTTCCATTCTTTTTCTCAGATCGCGAAGATCAATCGATTCTGTGCACCGGTGAAAGTGGTGCAGGCAAAACTGAAAACACGAAAAAAGTAATACAATATCTGGCCTATGTAGCATCATCAAAACCCCGTAGTGGATCCGTATCATTGCATACCGGAGAACTTGAACAACAACTTTTACAGGCCAATCCAATTCTGGAAGCATTCGGTAATGCTAAAACAGTCAAAAATGATAATTCATCTCGATTCGTAAGTTTAATCTGAATATACTTTACTTCATCACTTGACTATACTCATTTGACTCAGGGTAAATTTATACGCATCAATTTTGACGCATCCGGATTCATAGCCGGTGCCAACATCGAAACCTGTACGTATACTTGTAGATCTTTTCAGAAAGACAAACAAACTTATCATGATTGTTGACAGATCTGTTGGAAAAGTCACGAACCATACGTCAAGCGGTTGATGAACGTAGTTTTCATATATTTTATCAATTGCTTAATGGAACGTTACCCGAACAAAGACGTAAGTTTGACTAACTTGACTTAAATGTTGTCAGGATTTATTTTTGCTTTGTTCTGCAGAAGAATTTCTACTGGAAGACGTTAAAAACTATGCATTCCTTACGCATGGAGCTGTACCGGTGCCCGGTGTCGACGAAGCAATCGAATTCAAAAATACCGTACAGGCCATGCAGATCATGGGTCTGAATACCGAAGAATTAAGTGGTTAGTATTTGATGATTGCTTCTCATTAATGATTACTGATATGGTCGCCCAAAAACAGCCATTTTCCGTGTCGTATCGGCCGTCATGTTGTTCGGCAACATGAAATTCAAACAGGAACGAAATTCCGATCAGGCCACATTGCCCGATAATACAGTCGCACAAAAAGTTAGCCATCTACTTGGGCTCAATGTTTCCGAAATGATCAAAGCATTTTTACGTCCCCGACTCAAAGTTGGTCGTGATTATGTGACTAAGGCACAGACCAAGGAACAAGTGGAATCATCGGTGGAAGCCATTGCCAAAGCATGTTACGAACGAATGTTCAAATGGCTTGTCCACCGAATCAATCGCTCGTTGGATCGAACCAAACGTCAAGGCGCTTCCTTCATCGGTATCCTCGACATTGCCGGTTTCGAAATTTTTGAGCTTAATTCTTTCGAACAACTCTGCATCAACTATACTAACGAAAAATTGCAACAACTTTTCAACCACACCATGTTTGTTCTCGAACAAGAAGAATATCAACGCGAAGGCATCGAATGGAAATTCATTGATTTCGGTCTCGACCTTCAACCTACCATCGATCTGATCGAAAAGCCAATGGGCATATTGGCATTGTTGGACGAAGAATGTTGGTTTCCCAAGGCGACCGACAAAACTTTTGTCGACAAACTCATTACCTCACACAATAGCCATCCCAAATTTGTTCAGACGGATTTCCGTGCCAACGCTGATTTTAGCATCAAACATTACGCCGGAAAGGTTTGTGTTACTTGTCATGTTTACGAAATGACTCATTACTCATACTTGAATTGATAGGTGGACTATCTAGCTTCTCAGTGGTTGATGAAAAATATGGATCCATTGAATGAAAACGTGGTTCAATTGTTGCAACAATCATCCGATCCGTTTGTCATTCAAATATGGAAAGATGCCGAAATTGTTGGCATCGGTGTGGCCACATTAAGTGGTGATACGCAATTCGGTGCCCGTACTCGCAAAGGAATGTTTCGAACAGTATCGCAACTCTACAAAGATCAATTGACCAAATTGATGACCACCTTACGCAATACCAATCCCAATTTCGTCCGGTGTATTATTCCGAATCATGAAAAGAAAGCCGGCAAAATTGATGCCCCACTCGTACTGGATCAGCTTCGTTGCAATGGTGTTTTGGAAGGCATTCGAATCTGTCGACAAGGTTTTCCGAATCGAATTCAATTCCAAGAATTCAAACAACGATATGAATTGCTTACACCCAATGCTATTCCCAAAGGGTTTATGGATGGCAAACTTGCATGCGAAAAAATGATTGCCGCTCTGGATTTGGATCCCAATCTTTATCGAATTGGTCAATCGAAGATATTCTTTCGTGCCGGTGTGCTAGCTCAACTTGAAGAAGAACGTGATATGAAAATATCCGACTTGGTTGTCAATTTTCAGGCATGGTGTCGTGGTCTGCTAGCCCGTCGTAATTATCATAAACGATTGCAACAACTGAATGCTATTCGTGTCATTCAACGTAACTGTGCTGCATATCTTAAACTTCGTAATTGGTCTTGGTGGCGTTTGTATACCAAAGTGAAACCATTGCTCGAAGTGACTAAACATGAAGACAAGTTATTGGAAAAGGAGGATGAAATACGTCAGGTGAAGGATAAGCTGAACAGAGCGCAACAGGAATTGGTCGATTTGGATAAAAAATATCAACAACTAGTGACCGAAAAGAATGATCTATCGGCCGCTCTTCAGGCTGAAACCGAGCTCTGCAACGAAGCCGAAGAAGCTCGTGTGCGTTTGACTGTTCGCAAACAAGAACTGGAAGAATTGATCATCGAATTGGAAACACGTATCGACGAAGAAGTCGATCAATTTCAGGTTTTGAACAATGAAAAAAAGAAACTGCAATCACATATCCAGGATCTGGAAGAACAACTGGAAGAAGAAGAATCGGCCAGGCAAAAATTGCAAATCGAAAAGCTGGCACTCGAAACCAAGGTGAAAAAGCTGCAAGAAGAAGCATCCGTCTCCGAGGATACACACGGCAAATTGGCCAAAGAGAAAAAATTACTAGATGACCGGCTGGCCGAATTGATGAAAACGGTTGGCGAAGAAGAAGAAAAATCCAAACATCTTGCCAAACTGAAAGTTAAATATGAAAGTTCAATCACCGAACTAGAAGACAAACTTAAAAAAGAACAAGAGGTAAGTCTATCTGTCTGTTCTGGCTCGATGCCATTCATGTTTAACTGTTTGCTTGTTTAGCAAAAATACGAATTGGAACGTGTCCGACGCCGTCTCGAAAACGAATTAAGCGATACAAAAGAACAGCTCAGCGAAAAGAATGGCCAATTGGAAGATGTACAGGCATTGATCAGCAAAAAAGAAGCCGATCTAGGTCAGGCATTGTCGCGTTGTGATGAAGAATCGGCATCGCGTAGCCAAATACAGAAACAGCTACGAGAATTGGAATCACAATTGGCCGAAATCCAAGAGGATCTCGAAACAGAACGACAGGCGCGTGCCAAAGCAGAAAAACAGAAGCGCGACCTGAACGAAGAGCTGGAAGCGCTCAAAAACGAGTTAATGGATTCGTTGGATGTCACCGCCGCTCAACAAGATCTGACACAGAAACGTGAACAGGAGCTTGATCGATTACGACGCAGTCTGGAAGAAGAATCACAACAACACGAAAGCCAGATCCAGGATCTTCGCCAAAAATACGGCAAAACTATCGAAGAATTGAACGAAAGTATCGATAATCTCCGTAAGACAAAAACCACGCTCGAAAAAACCAAATTGAATCTGGAAGCCGAAAACGCTGAAATGACGCAGGAAATTGCCAACATCAACCAGGCCAAACAGGATAGTGAACGTCGTCGCAAACAGGTGGAGTCGCAAGTGTCCGAATTGACTAGCCGTTTGAATGAGATCGAAACGAAAAAGGCCGAATTGGTGGAAAAAGGGGCCAAAATGCAACAGGAACTGGAATCGGCATTATCGCAGCTAGAAGAAGCTGATCGTCGTGCCAGTCAGGCAAACAAAAACAGCAACACATTGAATGTACAGTTGGCCGAACTTCAGGAATTGTTGCAAGAAGAAACGAAACAAAAATTATCGCTCAATTCCAGACTACGACAAGTGGAGAGCGAGCGTGACGCTATTCGCGAACAAATCGAAGAAGAGGAAAAGTTGAAAAAATCCTTGGAAGCCCGGCTCAATCAGATTAACGCTGCATTCGTGGAAGCCAAGAAAAAAAGCGAAGAGGATGCCGAATTGTTGGTGCTGTCCGAAGAGAATCGTAAAAAAGCTGTCAAAGAATTCGAAATTGCCGGCCAACAATTGAAAGAAGCTGTGGCCACTATTGACAAATTGGAAAAATCCAAGAAAAAACTCCAGTCCGAAGTGGATGATTTGAATATTGAGCTCGAAAATCAACGATCCAAAGTTTCCGAGTTGGAAAAGAAACAGAAAAAATTCGATGCCATGATCCAAGAGGAAAAGGAATTATCGGCCAAAATCGCCAACGAACGTGATCAGGCGGAACGTGAATCGCGTGAAAAGGAAACGAAAATCCTCTCCCTGCAGCGAGAACTGGAAGATCGCGACAATCTCTATGTGGAAAATGAACGAGCCAAAAAGCTACTGCAGACCGAATTGGACGAATTGATCAACAATCAATCGTCTACCTATAAAAACTTCCATGAACTGGAAAAAGCAAAACGTAGTCTGGAGAATGTGGTTGCCGAACAAAAAGCTCATATCGAAGAGCTGGAAGATGAACTGATGGTTCTGGAAGATTCCAAACTTCGTAGCGAAGTCAATGCACAGGCCATGAAATCGCAATTCGAACGTGAACTGAAAGACAAAGAGGAACAGGCAGAGGAAAAACGACGCGGTCTCATCAAAAAGATTCGCGATCTGGAGACCGAATTGGAAGAAGAACGCAAACAAAAATCGGCCGCCACAATGGCTCGCAAAAAGCTCGAAAGCGAATTGCATGATCTCGAACAACAACTGGAGATTGGCAACAAAATGAAAGAAGATGCAATCAAACAGTACAAACGTCTGCAAGCTCAGTCCAAAGATAATCAACGCGAAAGCGAGGAATACAAAGCCGTGGCCGAAGAATTGAGCGCCCAGAACAAGGAATACGAAAAACGGTTCAAAGTGTCCGAAGCCGAATTGATTCAGGCCCAAGAAGATCTGGCCGCTTCCGAACGGTTGCGTCGTGCTTTCGAAAGTGAACGTGACGAATATCTGGATGAAATCAACAATCTGGCACCGCTTCGAAGCCAGATCCAGGACGAACGTAAACGATTCGAAGCGCAGATCAGCGAACTGCAGGACCGGCTCGAGGAAGAGCAAAGCAACACCGAAGTACTCGTCGACCGCATCAAAAAGATGCAAACCCAAGTGGAACAGATGAACATCGAACTGAGCAACGAACGTTCGCTTAGCCAGAAAAACGAAACGGCTCGTACTGCCGCCGAACGACTAAACAAAGAGCTTCGCAACAAACTTCAAGAACTCGAATCGACGCAACGAACCAAGAACAAACAACTGATCAGTCAGATGGAAAACAAAATCATCCAACTGGAAGAGCAACTGGACAACGAGACCAAGGAAAAACAAGGTGCCAACAAAATGATTCGCAAAATGGAAAAACGCATCAAAGACATGCAGGCTCAGATCGAAGACGAAAAACGACTGACCGAACAGATGAACAGCAAACTGGAAAAAAGTAATGCCCGCACCAAATCGTTGAAAAACCAGCTGGACGAATTGGAAGAGGAATGTTCTCGCGAAAAGACCAGCCGCCGCAAAGCGCAGCGAGAACTCGAGGACACCATCGAAGCCAACGAATCGTTGTGCAAAGAGATTGAAATTCTCAAAAACAAACTGAGGTGAGTTTCCAACTGCAATACTCTCTCATTGCTAACCATTATTAATAATTCCATTGCAGACGGTCGACGGCCAGCTCCCGTAACTACATTTCGAACAAACGTGGCTCGATGAGTGGCACCGGCGACGACAATTCCATCGGTTCGCCTCAAGATGACGACAGCCCGACCAACGATGACACCAGTCCATCCTCCACACCGGCACCAAGTTCTCGTATTTTACCGCAGGGACAGCCCATGTAATGTCCAGTATTAAAGCATCATCAGTGCAGAAATGAAATGAACACATTCCTTGTCTGACTGTCTTAACATGGATTGTTAACCCACCCCGACCATTCTATTCTATTCTATTTTAACCCCTATCTCATCTCTCTCTCTCTTTCTATCACTAACATTGTCTTCCGGCTGTTGATTGTGAATGTCTAATGAATTATCTACCAAAACATGATTTGAAATAGCATTGATTATTTATGAGATGATGATATATTTATTGTGATTTATAGCATATAACACAAATTTATTGAATAAAATAAATTTTAATCTAATCAAGTGCAGCGGTTGTTTGATTGACGTTGCTCAGCATTGTTGCGTTTGTTTTCAGTTCGAATATAACCGGTCCCCAGACATTGTTGATGGCCAACAATATAAACACGCACATTATTTTGAGAAAGAATCCCGGAATCAACTGTGCAGCGAACAAGACAATTCAATTCGAGTCAACCGATTGCTCAATCACAACTTACCATATCTCTGCTTTTCATTTTGCCCGCTTCGAATATGATGGCATTCGTTCCGGACGAGAAGGGCATCATGAACGCATACGAACAGCTTACAGTCACCGGCAACATCACCGACAATGGATTCATGTCCATCTGCATCGACTGCGACTACAATCGGCATTGATTGATTAATCAACATGGACAACAACATTCGACTAACCATTTGTTGAATCACAGGCAGCATTATATTGATTGCAGCAGCATTCGACACCAACTCGGTCAGCGTCATACTCACCGAACACAATATCAAAGTAATGACAAACGGAGGAAACTGTTGCAACACCTGTAGACTATTGCCCACTACCACCGACAGACCGGATAGTTCGCATCCTTTGGCCATGGCAAAACCACCGCCCATCAGCAACATTACCGACCAGGATACCTTTTCGCGAGTGCTTTTCCAGTCAAGCAACATTGGCGAATTGGCCAAATTGCTTGGATCGGCCGGTATCATGAAAAAAAGCAACACAACAAACATGGTGGGCACTGCATCTTTGATAAAACTAATTTCCAACCACATTCACCAATTTGTACAGTAATTTGATTACTACTCACTGGCTTTCATCGCCAAACAACGTTGTCCAGCCGTACATAAAATCCGGTGCCCGAAAAAACCACAGCGAAAACAGCAAGCCAAACAACGCCAGCACGGCCATTTCGTTGAATCGGATAGGGCCCAGACGATCGTATTGCTGACGCAACGCTTCCATCACTTGCTTTTCGTTATGTTCGGATTCCAATTTCGATTTGGCACCACTATATTATCGGATGCAATGAGCAACAACCATATCACAAATAAAATAACAGCACTTACCGTTTGCCATTGCCGCGAACAAAGTAACAAGTCAGAAAAAACCATGTAACCATCACCAACAAAACCAATCCGGGAACATTGAAGAAAAACCAGTCGGAAAAGGAAATCGGATCGCTAACGAAAGATTAGCAAACCATCAAGGTAAACAAAGTAAACATTGTTCCACTTTCAGAAACTTACTCTTTCAGGAATTCATTCAGAACCAGATTAGTGGACGTACCAGTCAATGTTCCGGTGCCGCCAATATTTGCCGCATAACAGATTCCCAACAGGATACCTTTGCGCAATCGTTTTGATTGTTTTTTCCGCAACACTGAAAAACTGACCAACGAAAGAGAACAATGTGTAAGTGAAGGGAACGAGACACACGAGGTTGTTGTCAGAGACACCTACGTGCTTGTCTTGATCGTTGATCGGGTTCGTATCGAATTGGTCCGGACACGGTCACCAATATTGACTAATACTGGCCACATCAACCAAACGGATCATCATTCATTCAGCATACTCATCAATAATACATACCTGCATCTGTTGTCATCACCGAGACCGATTGACGTCTGGTCAATTGGTCGAGTGCTGCATTTGCAATGGGCAACATCATGGCCACTGTAGCCATATTGCTTATCCACATCGAAAGAAAGGCAGTGGTGGCCATAAATCCAAGGAATAATCTTAATCAGACGATAATCAGCATTCCGTTTCAGATTCATCACCACTTACCTTCTGGGTGAAGTTCCAGTCAAGATGATCACTTTCAAGGCTATTCGTTCGTGAAGGTTTGATTTGGAAACAGCCGACGCCGCGATCATACTCCCCAAAAAGACCATTACGGTGCCCTATCAGAAAGATCACCAAGAAATGATTCTACTCGAACAGTGAATAGACATTATGCACATTACATTGAAATAGGATTTGGCCACTTCGTCGGTCGATATAATCTGCAACAAAGGAAACAAAACGACCGGTATCACCGATGTGATGGCCATCGGAATAACTTCGGTAAACCAATAGGTGATCATCACAGCCACCACATAACCACACTGGGCTTCCTTGCCCATCATCAACAACGGTGACCAAATAAACGGCGTCAACCAACAAACAAGCAAATTTTTCACTGCCGACAATTTGCTCAACATGGTTTTCGATTTCGACATCTTGGCGGTTGAATGTTTTGGATGAATAAAGATTTGACCATTGAATTCATTCGAATCGGTGAATTGCTTGCTGATGCAGAGCTCATTGCCAAATGATTCGCATATAAAAGTCGACGTCAATGTTTAGTATTGGTAGTGTCCAGGATGGCAAATCGCATTAGCAAGAGCACATCGAATTGTTCGAATAAACAAATGCTATCATTGATTAGATATGCATTCGATTGACTTTGCACTCCACTGCTTGCCATACCTAATAGATATTATACCATTGCTAGGTTTCAGCATCATCCTTTGTATCCAGTCAGTCAGTAAGCCAGGCAACACCTTGCTCATCCGACAGATATTTGCTTGACCTAATTCAATGACCCTATCTACATGACACAAATTAACATCGAAAAGGAAGCAAACCAAGAATTTATTTGCCCAATCATCAATTAAGAAATAACAGTAATCACATTTTTGATAACAATCAACAATCAGTCGGCCTGTCAATCAAACGATGAAATCAAAGGCATGCATGGTCCAAAGTATGCATTCATATCAAAGTCGAATCACACCTCATGACTGCTCGAAGTACAGTGGTTCGAAACTATCACTTGTTCCAGTATGGACCACAAACATGTTTCGTTCGGATAATCATTGTCGACCAGATTGACCAGGTAGTATGTGTTACAGATCGAACCAAGAACGCTGTGCGATTCAACATCCTCGTCCGGATAGACACGAGCCCATTTGTTCATCCATAGACTGAAAGCTTCGTCTTTCCAGACTTTAAAGCTGACGACATCCACGATGGTCGGCTGGATGATTTCTTTGCCAGGAAACACGCCCCATGTCACTGCTATCGGTTCGTCTTCATCACAGTTTGTATAGAACGGATCGCCCTGTTTCGAACCAAAGAAAAAATTAAAATAAAATTGTTCCATATTAGCATATCAGTGACTTACCTTGCTGTTGGTGATTTGATAGTTGACCAGTGGATAGTGTGGCAAAATTTTCAACAGGCAGTCAATTTTATGCTGAGAAATGAAAAACTCGACATATGCTTTTTGATAAACGTAGCCGTTTGGTGATCCCCAGCCATGTATCGAATCACTGGAACTAATTCCATTGACATTGGGCTGCGAATTGATGGTAAGAATACCATGTCTGTTCAGATGAGACAAACGATGCCGTATCACATTGGTTTCGGGTGCCAGTCCTTCATCATTCCAGGGTAGTGATTCAACTTTATGACCGAAACGATTGTTAGTGCCAGCTACGTACGCTTCGAATATATGCCACACATCTTGTTCATCAAGCAATTGTTTACCCCACATGGCAGCATATCGTTTGCGATTTTTCGGCGTTATCGAATCCAATGCGGCAAACAAATGGTAATCGTTCAACGAACCGAATGAAGGCGAATGAACTCGACCCCAACGACCATTAGGAAATTCATCCCAAGTATTGGTTCGTTGTACATAGCTTTCTGGCCGCCCTGACCAAAATATGGGTCGTACATTCTCGCTACAACGGCGATGGTTTACCGGCTGCTTCCAGGGCAATGGTTTATGACAAAAACTGTAGCCAATTTCCAACGCTTTCACTATGGTAGCTGTGGCATGTTGTCGATTCAATGTGAAAAAGTGAAGCCCTGGAGTACGACCGGATTGCATCAATTGTCGACAAAGATGAATGGTCCATTCAATACCATAGTTACGAACAGCTTCGTCATTATTGCGAATAGGTTCCAAATCTTGGATGATTCGATTCGGTATGTCCAGTTGAGATAAACGTGTAATTTTTGTCAAAGAATCGTAACTTTGTATGGGCATGATTCCGGGCAGAATGGGCACCTCGATACCGATGGCACGACATTCGTCAACAAAATCAATGTAGACATCTGCTTCGAAGAACAGCTGCGTGATAATGAAATCGGCACCAGCATCCACCTTTTTCTTCAGATTTTCTCGATCTTGTTGTTTGTTCATAGATTCGGGGTGTTTGATCGGATATCCGGCCACAGCGATGGTAAAATAATCACCATAATGATGACGAATAAAACCTACCAGGTCGGATGCGTAATGAAAGTCTCCAACGGTATTTTCGTTCAGATCACCACGAAGAGCCAATATGTTTGTGATGCCAATCTGCTTGAGTCGTTCTAGAATAGCCAACATTTTGTCGGTTGTCATATCGACACAGGTCAAATGGATCATGGTGTCAAGCCAACAATAATTGAGGGCAATTTCTGCCACTTGCATACTGAGTATATCGTCCATATTATCCAATTGGTTCATTGTCGAATGCCAAGTGACGGTGGAAAATAGAGAGCCCAATTGTCGGAAATTATTCAACAATGGAACCAGATTATCCAAAGCTTTCCATGTTTTCGGTGGGAATAATTCGATGGAAAAAAAGCTCACCTCCCGGGATTGACTACGTTCAGTTAGTTTGCTACTAAGCGGCACAAAACCGGAAGATCCGTTGGTGGAATGTTTTTTCACTTTTTCTTGCATTGTTTGATTGACAGGCTGGCAATTCGTACATCAACATTCAACAGTGATGATGTCGGCTAAAAATGCACATTTTCCCATCAAAGTCGGCCTTTATTGTGATGGAATAGTAGTGGGCGTCAATAATTTTGTTTATCAATGATAATGATGATCGAATCTTACATCAATGATATTCGCTGCTTATCAATCGTACCATTTTTTCTCCTGTTCATACAACTTATCTTGTCATCATCATACATTAAGTCTAAGTAAGCATGTTTGATTGTTTTTTTTTTTGTTCAAAGATAATCTGCACCCAGGATATGGCCACGACCATCTTTAAACAATAAACGACCGTCATTGTAGAGAATTTCTTGTAAACCATTCGAATACACGGTCTTTACTTTTCCAGAGGCGAATTTTCGTTTCTTTCAACCAAAAACAAACAAAAAAAACAAAGGCCATCAAACAAAAAGTTCAGACACTCAAACATTACACATACCACATAAGTGTTGGTTCTGATCTCAACATCACCATTCGGATAGTATCGCTTTTGTACGCCATTCGCGTAGCAACAGTATGTAGAGCCATCGACCAATCGAATCTGTTCACTGTGATCACTTTGTTTGATCCAGGCTTGCACACCATCCGGATATGTGATTTGTTTATCACCATTCGGTAATAAACGTTCCATTTGACCGCTATTAAATCAATCAAATTGAAGACAAATTATAGCCATTATCACATTACTTACTTGGCAAATTTAACAACAATCGTTTGATCAGGTTCAATAGTTCGAAAGGCACCGTTTGGGAAATGTTGTTCGGCTACATCATGGCTGTGATTAGAATGGAATTTGTTGTTGATATCTTCAAGATTTTTCTCCACCAAATTCAATTTAGTCATCAAATCCTGATTGTCATCCATTTCGATAAGAGTAGCCTTCAAACGATATAATCGTTCGATTCGATATTCGAGCATTCGAATCTGTTGGTTTGTTTCGGCAATGAACGAATCCTCCCACTCATCGCTAGTTGCAATTGATAGTTGAGTGTCGCTGTCGATCGGATCAGTCCCTTTGTCTTGATAATCGATTGTTGATTTGTCACATTCGATTTTATCCGGTTCAACAGAAGATCTGTCAGCGACGTTCTGAAAAACATTCGCCGGTTTCAGATTGGTTTTCTGAATACCGAATCGTTTCAGTCCGTCACCCTTGCGAAGAAAGGGACGCTTTTCGATTCGACTCGGTTTCGGTTCATCTCTTACGATTTTGACAATATTCTGATGTTGGCTCAATTTCTCATTGTCCAATCTGAATCGTACTTTGGCTTTAGGTTCGTTCGGTTTACCACTAACAAGAGCTGTTCCCAATGACTGACTTAATCGATCTGAATTTCGATTGATCACACTCAGATTATGATCACGACAATCGCCATTTGTTAATGATTCAAGATCAATATCAAGAAGTTTACGCAATTCATTCACTGTTTCCATCAAGGTTGATTTTTTTGTTTGTTTTGAAAATTCTAACAAAATTCAAACAATGAAAGACGCGCGCACACGCTAAACAACGCTCAACGTTCGATTGGTTTGTTCATAAAGAACGTAATCAAATTAAAATTCCAATTTGGATTTGAAAATCGGTCTTTTTTTATTTGAAACAAGATTGGATACATGGTAGGATGATCAAAGCGATAATAACAATGATTTGTTTCGATTGTGAACAAATAAATGGCTTTAAGTGAAGACAAATTCAGTAAACACAAACATCATTCTTTTTGCCGTTTCTGTAACGCTTGTGCCAGCTCCGTTTTGACCGCTTCCTGAGCTTTGAGTTCGTTCAACGAATTGACCGACCGTAACCCATTGAGGATGTTGTTCGTTTTGCCAAAATATATTTCATTGAGCGTCGAACGGATTTTGTTCTCCATGTCCTAGACCAAAACAACGATAATCAAATTGATTGCTCAACCCGACAAAAAACCTACCTCGACCATTTTGCCAATGTTGGCAATGTGCGAAAAGGCATCGGTGACGGCATTGTCTCCTTCTATTTGCCGGGTAAGACTACCGCCCAGGTTCATCGTACCCGAACTTTGTTTGTTGGTCTGAAGCCAAAGCATAACTGTGGTAGTCAATTTATAATGAGCATTACGGCCTCCCGATTTTTCTTGCACTTCGACCACATGAATCGAATCCCAACAGCCTTTGATCTTTTTCGAACCGTCGCCCACTTTCTTGATGAGAATAACACCGGCAAAGCCGTGATCGAGGTCCCAGAAATAGACCGAAGAAACGCCCCCTTCAAAATACATTTCCCGATACAGATCGAACGCATGATTGGCATCCATCTCTAATTGGCGTAGTTTTTCCGATGGTACATTACCATCATCAAGTGGTGGATCGTATTGATTGCTCCACGGAGATCTAAACATAATCCGAATGTCATCATTCCTTCGATATTAGCCATCACTTACCTGTACGAATCACCATCTCGATTGTAATCACAGAGAAGATATTCTTTGCCCGATTGTTTATCTCTGGCCACCTTTAATGGCTGATCGACTGACGACAGAAGTTCTTCGCATAAATCCGGTACCTAATGAGACAATCAATCAATCAATCAGTCAAGAAGATTGAATATTATCATCAACAATACTAACCAGATCAAGTAAATGACTGAGATTACGTTCGATCTGTTGCGGCGGTAAACGACGCATCAAATCTAATGCATGATCCAATTGTTTGTCCGTCTATTTGTGGAGGCAAAAAAATTGGTATCATCCATCATGATCCACAACAACTTACCATGGTTCTCAGTGAGCGAAACGAAATTAAAATTGAATTCCACAATGATCAACAACAACAACAACAATTGTCAATGGGCAACCAAACAACCAATTTGGTGTATTGCCTCTGTCTGTCCGTCCTGTCAGTTTTTCTGTCGGTTCTTTTTGGCGTGTCTTTCTCTCTCTCTCTTTGAATAATTATGTCGCACCTCGCACCTATGCAACTATGCTGCCATCTACGTATAACCGAAAATAAAATCATCAATGTTCACATGTTGTTGTTTATTTGACGAAAGAATCGAACCCTCAACGCAACAACGATGGCCAATACGACGATAATGATTGAAGATATCGATGAATTACCACCATATTATCCGGCCATACATGGATGTAGAAGTGTTGAAGAGTTTCATTGTATGAATCGCGTGGAAGAAGGTACCTATGGTGTTGTATATCGTGCCAAAGATAAACGAACTGGCGAGACTGTTGCTTTGAAACGACTGAAAATGGAAAAAGAAAAAGAAGGATTTCCCATCACTTCGTTGCGAGAGATTAGCAGTCTGCTGAAAGTGAAACATGAAAACATTGTCACCGTGCGTGAAATTGTTGTCGGCAGCAATATGGATAAAATCTATTTGGTTATGGATTTTGTGGAACACGATCTGAAAAGTTTGATGGAAACCATGAAAAAACCATTTCTATTGGGCGAAGTTAAAACTTTAATGTTACAATTGTTACGAGCTGTGGCACACCTGCACGATAATTGGATTCTTCATCGTGATCTCAAAACATCCAATCTCTTGCTTTCGCACAAGGGAATTCTCAAAGTAAGTAATCATAATTTTTCCAATAAAATGTCCTAATTTCATTTCATCAAATCACTATCGATTAATAATCACAGATCGGCGATTTTGGTCTGGCACGCGAATATGGATCTCCATTGAAAGAATATACTTCGATAGTAGTCACATTATGGTATCGAGCACCCGAATTGCTATTGCAAGCACCACAATATTCCTATCCAATCGATAATTGGTCGGTGGGCTGCATTTTCGGTGAATTTGTTACAATGCGGCCATTGTTTCAGGGTAAATCCGAAATCGATCAGCTCAATATCATGTTCAAGGAATTGGGCACACCAAACGAAAAAATATGGCCCGGTTATTCGGAACTGCCATTGGTGAAAAAAATTACATTCGCCGAGTTTCCATACAACAGTCTGCATAACCGAATCGGACACAAATTGGGCAAATCGGGTTTCGATCTCATCAACCGTTTTCTTACCTATTGCCCGGAACGTCGTATCTCTGCCGATGAAGCTTTGCGACATGAATTCTTCACCGAATCACCATTACCCGTAGATCCGGCAATGTTTCCTACGTGGCCGGCAAAATCCGAAGGTGGACAACATCGTAAAGCACCAAGTCCTAAAGCGCCTAGTGGTGGCAAACAATTTCAGCGTAACCAATTGGACGTGGATGAAGATCGTCTGATGCCAAACACTAAATCCTCCACATCCTCATCAGCATCACAAAATCAATCCGGATTTCATATGAACGTTCCAAGTTCGAAAAAAGGTTTTAATATTCGTTTTTAGCGCCATCTATCGGCATGTTTGAGATAATAATATGGTCAAATGTTCGATTGAGCTCATTGTTTGTTTGTATGGAGATGTCAATTATGCTCGTTCACTTGTTGTTTTCTTGAAATGATCAGTGTATTGTGTGACCAAAGTTTGTTGAATGAATCAAGATCCTCGAATTGATACTATGGATTCGAGCCTATTTGGCAAAAAATCCAATTCCGAATTAGCCTCTTTGTTCGAATGTCCCGTTTGTTTCGAATACATTTTGCCACCGATCCTGCAATGTCAGAATGGCCATCTTGTTTGTCAGGCCTGTCGAAAGATGATAACCACATGTCCGACGTGTCGAATTCAGATTACGTCGAATATCCGCAATCTGCAAATGGAAAAAGTGGCTTCCAGTGTCTTTTTTCCATGTAAATACTCGATACTTGGCTGTAAAAATCAGCTTCTTTACCAAGATAAACCGGGCCACGAAGAAGTTTGTGGCCACAAACCCTACATATGTCCATGTCCAGGTAGGCAGCTTCTAGTTAAAGTTTGGTTCAATGTTCAATCGATTGATTTTGTTTTCAGGAACCAGTTGTAAATGGCAAGGACCAATCGATCAGGTGATGCCGCATCTAATGTCGCAACACAAAAGCATCACGACACTGGAAGGCGAGGACATTGTATTTCTGGCCACCGACATCAATCTGAGCGGGGCAGTCGATTGGGTGATGATTCAGTCATGTTTTTCGCACCATTTCATGTTGGTTCTCGAAAAACAGGAAAAATATGGCCGACAACAATTTTATGCGGTCGTCCAGATTATCGGCTCTGAAATGCAAGCCGAAAATTTCATTTACCGTTTGGAGCTATCTGGTCATAAGCGTCGTTTGGTATGGGAAGCGACACCCAAATCGATACACGATGGTGTCCAAACGGCAATCAATACAAACGACTGCCTTGTATTCGATACCACGCTGGCGCAAAGGTTCTCGGAAAACGGTAATCTCGGCATCAATGTTACCATCTGTCCCGTGTGAACACAAGCAGTTTGATTCTCACTTTGTCCATGTATCATGACTATCTTTCTCTCTTTCCCTTTCTTTCATTCCGCAATCTTAAATTAAATAAATAAATAAAATACACTTGATGTTTTTGGAAAAAATTTCCATCAATCCATCCACGAATAATGTTGGCCTAGTTTGTTGTAAATCGAAGCCTTTCTGTTTTGAATAAACAAACCGTTCATTCATTGGCTTTATCATGGTAATTGTTTTGTTTAGATTAAATTCATATTGGCAACTAAGCAGATAATCATCGCCATCATTATACGCTCTATAGTGATTATATTTTTAGACATGCATGGGTGTGTCTCACCAATCGTACTATTCATCATGTGTGCTGTGCTGTGTGTGTGCTTTGCTGTGTAAGCATTTGCTTTGTTCATAAGATTCATTTCCTGAACGGGCATCGATCAAATCGAATCAAGAAATATTGCAGTGAAACAATCATAAATCATGTATCACCTCGATAATGTTGAATGGACCAAATGTTGGGCCTTGTTGCTTTTGATTGTGGCCAGCATCGAATGCAAAAACGATCAAAGCGAATTGACCAAATCGGTGACCGAAGTGGTGGAAGATCCGTGTGCATCGATCAAATGTGGTTTCGGGCAGGAATGTGTGTTCGATCATGATAACAACGAAGCCGAATGTATTTGTATCAGGTATTCATTTTTCCTATCACCATTGTCACATTTAATATTCCACAATTCTGGTTAGAGCTTGTCCGCAAAACGATGATCTTCGTCGTCGTGTTTGCTCCAATTATAATGAAACTTGGCAATCGGATTGTCACCTGATGAAACATCGTTGCGATTGTTTGGAAGAGCAAACCGATTCAAAGTACTGCACCTATGAACATAAACACATGCATATTGATTACTATGGCGAGTGCAAAGACATTGAACCCTGTCAGGATGACGTTCTGGAAGATTTTCCGCGTCGAATGCGTGACTGGCTGGACAATATTATCAGTTTATCGAGAGTAGAGGTAACCGAATCCAAACAGGATATGGCACACAAATGGATCGATGCTATCATTTGGAAATTTTGTGATCTGGATAAAGAACCACACGATCGATATGTTTCACGACATGAATTGTTTCCATTACGCGCACCATTATTGTCGATGGAAAGTTGCATATCGGATTTTTTGGACGGTTGTGATTCGAATGCTGATCATAAAATTACTTTGGTCGAATGGGGTAAATGCTTGGGTGCAAGTCCAGGTAAGCTTTGATTAGTCTGATTTGAACCTTTTTCTAATGTATGTCGCCCAATAGATGAAATGAAAGATAAGTGCAACCAATTCATCAGCAAAGTCTGAAATAAAACACTGTACACACGCACACACACATTTAATTTGACCATACAAAAACAAAACGATCAATGAATGAATAATAATGACATTTTTATTATATGACAAAATGAAATTGAATGGGTCTTAATAATAATAATAAAGTGATGAGTTTTTGTTTTGAATTTAAATTCTGATTCTGTTATGATCAACAGATGGCATTGCTAGTCACCCTCTGATGTTGGCACGCTTGTTTTGTTGTTTTTTAATTCGACAATTTTGTAAGAGTTGTCGACCAAATTATTGAATTATCATCATGGTTAAAAGTCAGGCCAACATTTCGTTGGGACGATCATTGATCAAAAGTCAACGTAATCAATCAACATCGAACCAATCATCGAGCGAGGTAAGAGATAGTGAAGGCAAAAGTCATTTTATATTGATCTATGATCACCCTTGATTGATTGATAGCGTCATACGCAGGACGATGGATTAGTCGGACAGAAAAGCATTACGGAAAACACTTCTTTGGATGATTTTCTTTCGCAAACTCGATTGGCTAATAAAAAATTTACCGCCGAACAGGCGACAAACATACGCATCGTAAACAGTAGCAACAATGAATGTTCGGCGCCAACAACATCTTCGTCTGGTGAGCAATTTAGTGATCAATTACTTATTCCTCGACGTCCACAATTGGCTGGAATTGATTCGGCCGAACGATTAAAAGAATTGGAAAACGAAAATTATTTGAAATGGCGTCGTCATTTGGCTCATTTGCAGGAAACGACCGATGTGGTACTTACACCGTTCGAAAAAAATCTGGAATTTTGGCGTCAACTTTGGCGTGTAATCGAACGAAGCGACATACTTGTTCAGATATTGGACGCTCGTAATCCATTGCTCTTCTATTCGGCCGACCTTGATAAATATATTCGGGAGGTGAATCCCGAAAAACGTTGTTTGATTCTGCTGAACAAAGCCGATTATCTAAATCGAGAACAACGTCAACATTGGCTAAATTATTTCGATTCTATCGGCGTCAAATGTCTGCTTTTTTCTGCACTCGAGCAACAAGAACAACCAGTTGCAGATGCAGATGCACCTACGACTCTGATGGATCGATTGCAAATGAATGATGATGATGATAGAACTGTATCGTTGGATTATCGTCAACTCATTTCGTTGCTAAAATCGGAGAATCACACGGAAAAACAACCATTCACTGTTGGTATGGTTGGTTTTCCTAACGTTGGCAAATCAAGCACCATAAATGCCATGATGCGAGTCAAAAAAGTTTCCGTATCGGCGACGCCTGGCAAAACTAAACATTTTCAAACAATCATCATTGATGATCAACTTACCATCTGTGATTGTCCGGGATTGGTATTTCCGAATCTAGTTTCCAACAAAGCCGAATTGATTGTCAACGGTATCTTGCCCATCGATCAGATTAAAGATGTGTTTATGGCTATCGAAGCTATCACCAGCAAAGTTCCCGCAGCCGTATTCGAATCAATGTATGGCATTATGTTGAACAAAACCAACGATAACCCAGACGAGGATTCGATTCCTATTTACGTTTCTCCGTTGGAATTACTCACAGTGTATGGCTATAGCCGTGGTTTTATGACACAACGTGGTCTTCCAGACACTTCCAAAGCGGCCAAATATCTTCTCAAGGACTTTGTTCAAGGACGAATCTGTTATTGCTATGCACCACCCAATGTAGATCAACAACAATATCATCAGTTTACGGTTGCGGATCGAAACCTTGATCATCGTGACCAAAAAATTGCTGATCGAAAATTACAACGAGTTTATGAAGGTAATAATCTACTTGCTCGAACAGATTTCGACGAGGATTTTTTCCAACAAACCAAAATGTCTGGAGCTCACGTTAAAAACAACAATATCAGCAGAACCAATGAAAACCAGGATAATCTTGCAACGAAGCCGTGGAAAAATCATCAACATAAGCGAAATCGTAAACAAAAGTTACGACGTGTTTATAGCCATTTGGATCAATGAATCAATTGTGTTTGTAAATAATGGATTGAGTTTGTTAAATGTGAATAAAATAATAATTTTGAATTGAATGAATTGTTTGAGTGAATTTATTGGAATGCTATCGTATGAAGCAAAGGGCGATTGATGGTTGTTTCGAATTCCTGCAACAATTCGTCAATATCATTGTCGAGATCTTTGGATTGGGCCAATGATTGAGCCATTTTGAGCATCAACAGAGCACCAATAGTTGCCTCCTCGTGATTATCTTGCACATCAATATTTATTATGTGAACCGTACTGTAATCGAGCGGCGACCGTAAATTCAATTCTGCTTATGCCAAATCACAAGCCATTAATAAGGTCCCATCAATGACTAATCAACACTTACCTTCCACTACTTGATCGTAGACACGTTCTTCGCAGGTAAAAATGACATCGAATTTATCACGACAAGTTTGAAATTTTTCCGGGTGCAGTTTGATGCGTCGATTTCGGTCAAGCATGTGAAGTATGCCATTTTGGGTGTAAAGATTTTTATCCTTGTTCAACAGATCGTTGTACATATATTCGTATGCGGTACCGAAATCATAAACATTCGGTTTATCTTGCGCTGGACCCGGCAATTTTACCTGATTTCCCGAACCAAATGAACGAACGTTGAAACCTTTTTTGCTGTAATCATCATCAATTAGCTAAAACAAACTCGATCATAATCAAAAATCAACCAACCTGAGAACGGCATGTGCTTCCATCGATCGATTCTGGTTCGATGAACAAACTACCGCAAACCGAAGTCCATCCACCATCGTGACTGACACAACAACAACATTCAACAATCACGATGAAAATCGCGATTCGACGAGAAAAACAGTCGCCGCTTGCAGCTGAGAACGCCGTTCATAGAATACATGATCGAATGCACATTTAAATAAAAAGGCTATTTTAATTCAATTTCAATTTGCAAAAATAGATCAATCAACAATTTGTTCGTCATCAATATCCATCTGATCGCAATCATCGTCGTTGGTAATTTCCTGATTGGGTTTGGTATGTTTGGCCATGATGGCCATAAATTTACAGCTATACTTAGTAAATTCAACAATTTTGGCTAGATCGTGATGTTTGTTTTTCAATGTCTGATGCAATCGCCTAAGTGCGGTCGTTTGTTCAGTGGAAAGATAACTTTTCATGGCAGATGCATGCTGTATTAATATGGATTCGACCCATCTAAGATAGAATTCAAAATGGCCCGTCCTATCGAATCCTTTGTCCAGATGGCTAAGCAATCGGTCGACCATCGTCAGCGATAATGTCGATGTAATCAAACCAATCTGATCGGGAGGAATGTTTTCCAGCGACTCTTGTATTAGATTCCAATCGTTGAATTTAAGTGCCTGCATCAGTGCTTGGGCATAATGTTTGTTTTGAAGATTTTCACGATACGAACCCAACGTTACTGTTGTATCCAATTCATATGGATTGAATGTGGTGGTATTGTCGATGGAATAATAAAGAACACCTTCAGTGGATGCCAAAGCAAACGAACGCATCGTTGGTGAGAAACGAATCTGCATGACGGCAATGATTGGCATCAATTGTCGATCAGCATAATCACTTTTGATTACACCGGGTAAGGCGATCGGTGCAAAGCTCGATTCATCATCACGATATTTGATACGATCCATATCGAATCCAAATTCTTGCATTTTTCGTTTGCTAATGAATTCTGCGAATCCATCCAATGATAAATTATTCGAGATTTCGAATCGTTTTACTAGCAATTTTTGTTTTACATTATAGATGCAAACATATTTCGAACGACCAGCAGCAATCAAATATTCACCATCAACCGAATAGGAAAATGTGGAAAAATATTTATACTTGTCGTCCACTTCTTCACCCTGGTATCGAGATCGACCAAGATCGTTTTTTCCTTCGATACCGATTCCCAATTGATCACCAGATTCGGCACCAAAAAACGATATAGTTCCGTTCAATGTGGCCACTGCAAATTCATGACCATCTTCACGAATATCCAAGCACAGAGCATCACTACCCAATTTGATGACTTCTCGCGTATGTTTCGCACCTTCGAATAGGTTCCAAATTCGTACCGTACAATCCCATGAACATGAGTACAACGTATTCGAATTGGGTGAAAATTTCAACGATGAAACAGGTGCCTCGTGACCTATTATTAAGAGTGGGATAAATGAATGAATAAATCATAAAAAGAGACAACTTTACCTGTTAACATTTCCAACAATCTGCCTGTTTTGAGTGACCAGAGAAATATTTCGAAAAAATTATGCGAACCAGCAGCAATAAAATCACCACCAATTTTGTCAACGGCTAGCGATATAAATTGTGCCGGTTTCGAATCACTTGGTGCAGCCAATGTTCGAAAACAACGATAACGATTCAAATCGAATGCTTTCACTGTTCCATCCAATGAACATGTTACGAAAACTTTTCCATCTTTTCCCGGTACAAATTCTACAGCGGTTATTGGACCTTTATGTTCAGTGCTGAACATGGACACACAAAATCCGGTAAAAAGATTCCATACTTTTAGACGACCATCAGTACCACCAGTGATCAATAATGAAGCATCCGGTGAATATGCTAAACATTCATATGAATTGGTAACACTATTCGAGTAGCCACTTTGTTTCAAAATAAACGATTCGGATTGCCATTCCCATACGATCAATTGAGTTTGAGTGGAAACTTCGTTATCAAAATCATATTTATTGCCCGAACCAGGACAACTGCCCAAAGCAATCCACGCTCCATTACTATTGAAAGATACTGTCGATATGGGTGTTTTGTTCGACAATTGCAGTGAATGTATCAGAATCATATCGGCCAGATCGTACAACATAAATCTGCCATCATTATAGCCGACAAGCATAAGTCGTGCTTTCGGTTCATAGCCATAAGCTGTGATTCGTGTGCCGGAATTTTTCTCTTTTAAATCTTCAAACAGATACTTCTTTTCGGAAATTTTATAATTCAATTTTTCCACGGCATCGTTGTCGATTTCATTCCAATTACAATTCCATGCGAATAGTTGACCATTGCGACTAATACTGTATATGTTCAACGGATTAGGTTTGCTTTGCGCGAAAAACGCACCAATTATCAGATCGTTATGAGCAGTAAGTGTGATGAAATCACCGAATCGATCAATCTTTCGATCGATAGGATAGATTCGCATTGAATAATCTTTGCTTGTGATCAACAACAGTTGTGATGTTCGGTTCCATGCAATCGATACCGATTCTTCGTGACTTGGTTGAATCATTTTGTGGATTTTAAATCCGGACAACTGTCGCCCTTTGCCTTGGCCAATATATCCGGGTGTAAGATATACAAGTACTTTGCTCGAACCACAAATAGCAAAATATTTACCATCGGGCGAAAATTGAACATCGTTGATTTGATCACCAATATGTTTGAAATCTTTACGATGAAGTATAACATTGCCAAGTAATGATGCGATCATTACCTGATTTTTTTCGGTTACTATCAACAAAATTGCAGCATCCGGACTGAGAGCTATCCGACAAATGTTGAATTGAATTTCGAACGGTAACGCTTGACATTTACCATTTTTCAGATCGTAAACAATAAGTTTGTTACCACATGGACTTAGCAAACAATTGCTATCGGGAAAGAATTGCAAATTACCATGATCATAGACTGAACCAAGAACATTGTTGAATTTGTAGGAAAATCGCATTTTGGCCGATTCAATCGAGATTCAATCAAAATTCAAAACATTTCGAACGTTTGAAACACGCGTGCAAAAAAGCTATTTCCACTCATCCCGATCGATCCGGGTAGCATTGGATTCTTTGTGATGATTTTGTCAAAATATTCGAAAAAACTTGTCGAAAAAATGGATTCAGTATTAAAATTCAACATTTATAATGATGATCGCGAAAAAATTTTCAAGTAAGTTCAGAATCCAATCAGAATCTAAATGAATTGGCAATTTTTTCGGTTTTGTTTCGTTTCAATTGAGGATCGTGCAATATGCTTCGCATTTGATATGTGCATTACAGTCGAAAATGGCCAATAATGCTGAAACAGTATTACGATTGAAGCAAATCGAATTGATGATGGCTCTATCTCGACAAGGTAAGATTGATCCTCGATTCGTTACAAGTGGACTGATTGTGTAAATGGAATCCATTAGCTTTAAGATTTGGTAAATTTTCCGAAGCATTCAATTCGTCGATACATTCGATGCGTTTGCAGGACAATTGGATGCGTACAACATTATCCCTATCACGTATATCATATGGTCTTTATCTTTTATGCGATAATATCGTCTGGTTATCCCGAATCGGTGTAATTCGTTGCAATGAACAGCGATTCTGTGAACTTGCTCAATCATATCTGCTATATTCATCAGCATTGGCTGCCGTCAAGAATATTTATCAATTGAAATTGATTGCCGATAATCACAATGAACGATATGGTCACAACAATAATTCGATAATTCAATTGTTAATGATGAACAAAATATTGGCAATGGAATTGGGCAAGAATTTGTGTGATATTTGTTTATGTTTACATTCATTAGACAGAATACGACTCTCGCCAATCAATGTTGGCCTTATGGGTCTAATTTCTTCATTAATATTTCTATTGAAAAGACATTGATGAATAGTAATAAAGATGATGATGATGGATAATAACCGTGTAATTTAATATAGAGCATGATAATCCTTTTGCCTCAACAATATTATTAGATTGCTAATTATTTGCATTTGGGCAGTATCTGGTTTCATGGTAAAACGAATAGAGTCCATTTAGTTGACAATGGTGATGAGGATTATAATCAGTTTCCCACAGTAAGTAAGTATGCATGTAAAATTGACAAATTGAATTGCTCCTTCAATGAAAATGATTAGTTATTTATTTATTTCGATTTTGTAAACTGATCCCAACATTGCAAATTTGTATTGTTATTTTTACGGTTAACTAAATCAAATCTCTTCACCGACCAATGTAATGCACTCGTCATCGTCGATGATCCTCGATAATTGGCCCTAAATATAAAAAAAGTACAAATCCAGTGTGTGATTGGAAAAGACTGAATTCAACAATCAATGATCAATGTTTACAACTCACCATACAAGCGATCGAAAATCTACTCAAGTTGAAAATGTTTTTTAATCCCTTAAAATAGTTTGGTCTATGCCAGAAATACAATGACAATAATTTGACAATATGCATTTCAATCAACCGTAAATCAATCAACCAATTCACCCAAATGAATGGAATGGAACAGTCGATTAACAATTCTCTACACTGCTTTCCAATAATGACTGTGGCGCCTCTGTTCTTTAGTCGTTGGAAATTAGTGTTTAATATGGAAATTGCAAATTAACTGAACTTAAGTTTAGCATTGTGTCCAGTATACGTAGAGTAGAGTAGCCCATAGACTTTTTGGCTTGTTTTTTTGAGAAACACTTGGCTAAATGGCCATATTTGTTGCAACAAAAAAAAGGAAATTTCCTCTAATTGAATGGTCAGTCCAGTTGAGTAGCACGTGTAAAATTCAATGCAATACGTTTTTCATTGATTAGTTTTTTGCTTCGATGGTCCATTCATCGAATGAACTGCTGAAAAATCATTCGTGTGCAGCATCCACCTGAATACTGACCTGGACAGCAGTCGGTTTTTATTTGATCAACTGGGCCAAATTTTGCCAAATTCAAAGATGAGCCAAATGACACTGATGATATAATCCAGTTTGATTGAGATAAAAACAAAGACGGCCAGCAGATAATCCAATGTGACAGCAAATCTGACAGCCACGAATTTGCATCGAATAATTGTTTATTAATTATCATCCATCAAATTACCGACATTACAACAAACAAACAAAACATTGCATTCCAATTGAGTGTTTTCTTCAAAATTTAGATTCGATCGAAGATTAGCCCCATGTGGTTGTTGTTGGAAAACCGAATGCAGATTAAATCTTTTTTCGATATTTGCCAATTTGCATGATAATGACCTATGTGTAAAAGGTCTTTTCATTCCATTTCCAATTTGCAATCTAGACAAAATGATAGGAGAGATAATCCCCAGAAAAAAGAAATCTTGTAACGTATTTTACTCGTCACAAGTTAAGTGCAATTTGTCGCGTCAAACAAACAAAACAGCAGACAACAACAGCAACAACAACAGTAATGATGAGAAAAATGAATGAAAACAAAACAAAAGGCCTGGCCTGTTTAGATTGGCTGAGTTTGTTAGTTTGGATTGATTTCATTAGAAACAAACTTTTTTTGGACCACGACGGTATTTACAAGCCAATGCTGCACTGAAGAGAGGAGCTCCACCTTGAATCATTTCTGTTAAATGTGGAAAATTAGTTGCAAAGTGGGCGGCCTTCTTAACTCTGTTATCATCATTTTGTGATGGTGATTTGGTTTGATTGGTAAACACCTTGTTTTGTCTGAGATTTCATTCATTTCATTTTCGTCATTTTCTTAATTGAATCAAAATTATTCTGACAACAAGCAATATTTTGATTTTGTTAATTTTGTCGTCCATTCGTTGTTAATGTGTTGCGTGATTGCTTGAAAAAATAAATATTTTTGATTGCAAATAATGATGTCACCGAATATGATGATGATGAAAGAATCACCCATCACTGCATCGACTTTAACGTCAACATCAACATCCTCGCCGACCACAGCAACCAGCAATATAATGTCGACAATAATGTCACCATATTATCATCGTTATGGTTATATCGGCTCCACAATTGATCATCAATCATATCATGGCAATCGAGTCAACAACGAATCTGTAATCAAAAAAACATCATCATCGCTATTTTTGATTGATCAAATTCTCAAAACAAACGATTATCAAACGGTATCTGATTGTCGATCGGCTACCAGTGAAACTGATGGATCCAATGAAACCAATGATATCGACTGCATCGATACACTCGATGATGATAATGATGATGGCTGCGGCAGTCGAAAAAATTGTTCACCACTCATCGATGATGCGGATGATACAGATTTATCGTTGGAATCGATGCGTTCATTATCGGGCGGCAATCGTCGTAAAATCCGTCGCAGTCGTACTACATTCACCACTTATCAATTGCATCAATTGGAAAGAGCTTTTGAAAAGGTATAAGGCTTATCTGATCTTGTAATGCTTGTTGTGTAAAACCCTGTCTCAAACACAGACTCAATACCCGGATGTGTTCACACGTGAAGAATTGGCCATGAGATTGGATCTGAGCGAAGCTCGAATTCAGGTAAGAAGGGCACCCACGCCAAATTGAAAATCTTAAAGGATTTAAGCGACCTAAATTGATTGTGTGAATGGAAGAGAAACTAAACTAACTAACTAATTGATTACTGTATTGTAATCCGATTTTCCTCATTCATTCCATTCGAATTAGTAAATTATTTTTTCTCTGATCAGGCAAATTAATTCAAGAATTGGCCAATTAATTAGCTAGTTAGTTAGTTATTTAGTTAGTCAGCTTATTATCTTTTCATGTTTTTCGAACCCAGGAACAAAACAACGAGAATAGATCCAGGAATCTTAATTCGGTTTTAGTTGGCTCCCGTGAGAGAGCAAGATATTGAAAAGGAAAGGCAAGTTTACAAGTTAGATACATCCAGTGAACAGTGCAATGGTAAACATCGTTATTTGGTTATTCTCAAGAGAGAACGAAAGAATATTATAGTTTTGCTTCTCATTAAAGTTTACTAAATATTGATTGATTGAATGTTTCACAAAAATTGTGCTTGTTGTTGTGATTGTCTTATTCATTCATTATGATGATGTGATTAAATTAGCTTGTCAATTCTTCACTGCCGTCGTTTCGTTTGGAAATGTCGAAATGACGGCACTCTTTTTGTTTGGTTTGATTTTTGTTTCATTATTTTTCTCATTCAATTTTTTCCTTTTCTTTTTATTCCAAATCAAAATACCAGGTCTGGTTCCAGAACCGAAGGTAAGTTTATTTTCCCGAGAGTGAAATTGGCTTATATTTTTTATTGATTGTTATCATTCAAACAAACTTTTCCAATTGGCAATTTATTTATTTCGTTTTTCTCAGAGCCAAATGGCGAAAACGTGAGAAATCGGGCCATAATGATGAATCGACAAGTCCGATGATGATGATGATGATGCCAAACAGCGATCAACTAATCAACGATCAACAACCACCAGCAAAACAATCTACCATTGCATCTTCATCAACCAATTCGGCCACTATTTATTCACAAAGTACAGACAGGTCAAAGATGCCGCCACCACCACCGTCAACAACAACAATGACCAATGCCAGCAACACCCTTACCACACCTTGCAACAATTCGACCACGACAATGGCAACATTGCCGCCGCCGACAATGTCCATCTCAAATTACATCAATCCTGCTCAACATTGGTCATTGAATGGACATTTACCGACACTGTTTCAACCAAATGTAACAGTTCCATCACCGTCATCATCATCACCATCAGCACTGTCAAATTATTTGCTACAGCAACACTTTTTGCGTTGGCCTGCGGCTGCAGCAGCCGCAGCTGCTGCCTATTTATTCGGTGGTGGTGAAGGTAATCATCATGGTAATCATGGCGGTGATCGATTGGAACAATGGGAAACATATCTAAAAGAAATTCAATTGTTAAATGATGATGTTGTTGGTGATCAACGGTAATCACTTTTACAAAATACAGACTAAATCAATAAATTTGTACAGACCTTAATCAATAAAAATAAAATGAAAAATCTAAATCATATTATCACCAAACAAACAAACAGCGACAAAATTCACTGCAATTTTTCTCATAATATTCATTATCAAATTGGTAATCTTTTTTGCCTGGGGTAACATGAGTCAATCCGGTATACATGGGGGCCATGATTGAATAAGGAAAACATTGGGCAAAAAGAAAATGCAATCTATTCTTATAATGATGTTATGATTTTCGCTGTTTTTCATCCTTTAGGCATCGTCTATAGCGAAAGACAAATTGTATTTGTTTGCATAGACAACGACGATGATGATTGCAAAATTAAATTTCATTGCCAACTGAAAGGGACAATGGCAGAGAGAATAAAGCAAATCTTAGCATGTCGTACAAATTAAATTGAAATGAAATTGACAAAATCAAATCAAATTTGGATTGAATGATGGTGATGATGATTAATTTTTCGTTAAATTGTTTCAAATAATAATAATAAAACGAAACAAACTTGACTGGTGCTGAATGCTTTCTCGGGTGAATGATTTGCCAGTTTTGATTATGATGATGATTTCAGCAGCAGGCAATACTGCCGAATCAACATTCAAACAAACAGAAAAAACAGCAACCCATTTTCACGGCTTGTTTACATTACGGATCATCAGGCTTTATTTTGGTGAAAAATGTTTTATTTTATCGATCAAAGATAAGATGTTAGAAATGTTTCATTCAGCAGAATAAGAGTGTGTTCATTGAATCGTTTTGGCGAGGAATTTCCTTAATTCAAGTTTAATTGAAAATTCAAAATTGCTGCAACGATTGCGACACACGTCACCAGTGAAATGAATGAATTTAGCATCCGGAAATATCGAATAGAAGAATGGCCACGTTATTATTATTATTATTAGCTGGCAATCGACCATCCATTCATCGTGATGATTATTATCATCAAGGCGACAACAAATAAATACAGTAATCAAATATTGACTCAACTTTCTCTCGCACATAGAGTTTTCCAATTTTCCTTCAATTCAATTGATTCGCATTATTGAAAAATCAAATCAAATATCAGCAGCAGCGAAAACAAACGCGACATACAAATACAATCAAAAACCACTCAAGGCGGTACATTATCGTTGCAATGCAGCAAGAGACACTTTTCATTGTGCACAGTCCACTTATTTAATTTTCCCGATTCTGATGATGTTTGTTTTATTATTATTAGCTTGTTAATTAAATTTAAATTGCATCATCATCCAGAATTCCAGGGATGTGCGCCGAATCATCCTCGCTCAATGGCCCTGAAGCCTTTTCCCACCAACCGATATAGTTGTTTAAATTGGGTGAAAATTCAATTATTCACTTACCAACTTTGACAATCGTGATTCATTCACCATTCTCCCCTTTCTCCACCAATCGATTAGATTCATTTTGCAATCAAATATCGATGAAGAAAAACAATTAATCGCTCCATTGCCCATATATAATGGCCGTTGAACTGAAAGGAAAAAAGCAAGATGATAAATGTGTGCGCGAGCGCGATTAAATAACAACAACATTATTCTGCGACAAACATGCAAACATTTAGTTTTGTTTGACACGGATGGTTTTTTGAATGGGACAAAAGCAAAGCAACGAAATCTTGTCGTCCTTTCTTTCCTTCAAATATTTACCCAGCAAAAACTTTTTCTTTTCTTATCATATCTTTTTATGAATCGAAGAAAAGAAAAACTTTCTTTTCACAATTCGACAAACAACAACCAAACAAACAAACAAATCAAATCGCTATAGGTTTGATTTTTAGCGACATTTGTTTGATCAGTGTATGAATGATGATGGTGATACTCATTTTGATGATAGCAGTAACAATTCGATCAAACCAAAATAAGTTGAATAAAAATAATATATTTGCATTTTCCAATTCAATTTGAACATTAATTAATTTGATGATGATGATGTAACCTAATCAAATTTATGATGCAAAAAGAGAGTATTAGATTGTTTTCCATGAAAAAACATCATCATCATCATCACGATTCTAATAGAGAGACATGGGTAAATTGAAAAACAAAGTTAACTCTGTTAGTTATCTAATTTGGCATTTAATTTTGCAATTTCGTTCAAATTGGCGACAACTCAACTCAATTGACTGAACGAGAACCGAATGGGGATCCCTATTAAATGGTATTAAGTTTGGCACTTAGCATCATTTTTTCAACTTTACTCTCTTTCTCTAATCCAGTATCGGGTAAGCGAAAAAGAGCACTCGAAAAAACAAGAGAAAATGCTGAGTGGAAACAGTGGAAAAAAATCCGATGTCAAGATTTAGCAGCAATAATCATGAATGGCATTAATCTGATTCTCTCTGCAAAGTTCTTTATTTATGGACAAATTGGCAAAATGATTTCTCATCTGATAAATAAATAAATTCGCCATGTTTATCTCTGTTTATAATAAATAATAATTGCATCATAGCATTCTACTTGAGTTTAACCTAATCTCTCTGCCTGCCTCTCACTATGATGACCCATCAAACGTAATTTAATAGTGCACAATAACAACAGCATTCTTCCCTTCTATTTCGGATTGATAATCAAATTTTCCCAACAACAAAAAAACTTTTTTTCCAATTAAACGGTGGCACACAAACAAATCTTTTTTGCATCACCAACCGGTACAACGGGATCGGATGCGGACTTTTTTTGTTGTTGCCCAAAGTACCCGACTATGTGTGTGAGTGGGGCATCTTTGCAGTGAAATTGAAAATTCGGCAAAATTGAATCAATCAGAAAAAAAATCTCGAGCAATTTCCTGCATTGCCGAAAAAATTGTTTTTTCCCCTTGAACAGAACAGAACACAGCAGGTTGCAGCAAAAAACGTTTATCATTTGTATTGGTGATGCTTATCATCATTCTTTATTTGGAAAACTTTGCTCCAATTCAAATTAGATTTATTCCGATTTCATTTGATTAATCATTCTTTTTTCACTTTTGATTGACATTAATAATGATGATGATGCTTGTGAATATTGGCATGTTTGTTGATCGATTTTCGAATCACATTCATTCGAAATGGATAAATTTAACGGACTAGTTGAAGGGCTGTTCAGCAATTTCTTATTGCTCGGGCTTTGATCGTCATCATCGGAGCCGTCCATCCCTTTACATTTGGATTTGGCCAATTCGGGATCCGACAATAGAGGTATCATCAAACTGGATTTGGCCGATGATTGTTGTTGCTGATCGAATCCAGGAGGATGCGGCGGCGTTATGTAATTAGAGTAATTTACATAGAATGATGGTGATGAACTAAACATCATTTGAGAAAATGGATCACCATGACATGATGAGGATGATGATGAGGTGGTGGTGGTGGTGGTAGATTGTTGTGCTGCAGTCGTGGTCGTTGATGATGTCAATCCAATCGCTGCTGCAGCAGCCAACCAAGAATCCAAACTGGTTGCAAACGGTGAGCTTGTTAGTAATGGTGAAGATGGCACTCCAATATTGGGACCCATCAGGAAATGATTTGGATTAAACGGCGAAGAAGCTGCTGCTGCTTTCGAAATCGAAACGATTGGCAAACGACCAGATGATGATGATAAAGACCGAGATGGTGGTGGTGCTAATTGCTGTAACGGTGGCGACAACGATGATGATGATAATCCACAAGTTGCAATAGTGGTGGCGGTGGTGGTTGGACTTAGATCAAGATTTCGATAGGAACTATGATCATCCAATTTTTCCTGTCGTCTCCATTTGGCTCTTTTCGGTTTTCGGGAATAATTTTTTCAACAAAAAAAAATTAAATGAAAAAACCTTGCTTACAAAAATATTTACCTTCGGTTTTGAAACCAAACCTATTCGGGCGGAAATGAAAATTTTTCATTTTGAAAAATTGAAAATTTAAATTAAAAAATGAGAAAAATTGCCAGAAACATAAACATTTGCAATAATATTTGTTTAGTGATATTTGTCATTTGCTGTGTTTACCTGGACTCTCACTTCGGGTAGGTTTACTTTCATCGCCAATTCTTCTCGGCTATAAACATCCGGATAATGCGATTTTTCAAATGCACGTTCCAATTCGTGCAGTTGATATGTGGTAAATGTTGTACGATTACGGCGATGTTTTTTCTTGTTATTATTATTGCTGTTACTGCTCGTTCCGTGAGTTCCATTCGAATCTGGATTGCTCAACATTGATTCATTACCATCATCCCCCTCATCATCGGACAGTCCGTTTCTCGGACCAAATTCTACATCAACGTCATCATCATCATCATGATCGGAATCTGTTTGATTGACAATGCCGTTACCGTTATTATTATCCAAACGGCTAATATTGTTCTGATGACCATTACCTATTTCGATCCAAGCAACACGACCATACAAATGAATGTTAATTTTTCTTGGGTAAAAAACTTTTTTTCAACATGCAAAACAATTAGAAAAAAATCTTTGTGTTTTGATAATCAACTGTGATTATTGGCGCCGATTTAGTAACTAAACATTTAGTGTGTGTGTCTGTCACACAAATAAAACTGATCTGATTAGAACAACACAACAATTGGCTATTATTACTGCAATATTTGATCTGAATGAACGCGTTTTTCCAATGCAAAAACAAACCCTATTTGACAAAAGTCTGTCTGTCTAGCTGAATTGTAGATTAATAATAAATGAGACTAGAAAAATGTAACTATAGCCAATCAGTCAGTCTCATTTGATTGGGAATAGAGCGACATAATAATAACAACAACAACATTGATAATTTCTTTTCTTCAATCAAAATTAGCCGCAGGTCTTGCCCGGGTATTTGACAATAAAAAAGATTCCGAAAAAACAAGGTAGACATTGATAAACTAAATAAATGTTGTTCTAATGTTTCATTCATTCAATCTATGGCTTTCTTCAGCAAACAAAGCAAGAAAAACACTTTTGTCGCCTATTGTCATTGATCAACAACAACAACAACAATCATCACATAACAATAACACACCACACAATTCAAATCTGCTACTTTTTCTGTCGAATCAAATCACCAAACTTTATTTTCGGCCTACATTATTATTAGTGGAAACCAATCAAACAATTATTTTCTAAATTGTAAAATTCAAACAAAATTTTTGTTTTGTTCAAATGTTTCCATTGAAGCAATTGATCAATGATGGATGTTGCCAAACAAATAAACTGCTGCGGTTTATGTAGCCAAATGAAAACTGAATAATTGATTCGATTAAAATATTACATAATTATCAACCAAACTAACCCAAATTATTGTTTGCCAGCAGCCAGATTTTCAAAGTTGATTATGTAACCCTGCTGATGATCATCAAATGACAGTAACAGAAATGTCTCATTCATTTCATTTTATTCCTCACTCACTAATTGGTTGACCTGCTGTGTATCAACATTGTCAAAACTTACCGTTATTATTTAAATGATAATTGTAGTGGTTACAATGTTGTTTGGTCGTGATAAATTTTGCTTTCGACGACGATGATGATGATGATTTGAGACCAAGTATTTCATCGATACTATATCGATTGTAGCGATGATGATCAACGATGGTCGTATCTTTTCTCAACTTGAGATTATTATGATGAATATTCATTGGATTATGGTCATTATTGCTATTATTATTATCATTGGTAAATTGAGCAAACATTTCATGATGACTATAGTCGGTCAATTTGCTTTCATCCACATTATTATTATTGCTACATTTTTCCATTGGATTGGTAATGAAAACAAGTTGTTTTCGCATTTCGTTTTTGAATGTTGATTGGACATCAACATCATGTTGACGATGATGATCATCATGAAAGTAGAATGAATGGTTTTCCATTACACTAATCACTTTGATTAATTGATTCGTTGCAATTCAAATCAAAAAGGATTAATCGGATCAATTTGAATGAATTAATGAATCAAATGACTAATTGTAATTCAGAAATAATTCAATGGTGATGATCATGATTGTCTTGGCTGCCACAACCATTCACGAATGAATGACACGAGAATGATCAAATGCATCGACACTTTATAGTGAAGGAGAACGCCATGTTTTGATTATTGCATTCATTTTTCATCATCACCATGCAAACGACAAAGTTGACAAACTCCAATTACCCAGATAAATATATATCAAGAGAATTTCAATGATTTCTTTCACAAAAAATACACACTTTTCAAGATGGGAAAGGTGGATAAAGAGAGAAGCACAAATGCAATATTACAATGATGATGATTCGATTATATGACGCCTCTCTTCTTCACACACACACACTCACTAAACAGTCCAAAATGAATCAAAATTAAATAATGTTTTCGATTCGATTCCACCATTATCATTGATCATTGCAGGATGCGGCCCTACTGGAAATTCAATAATAAAAAACAAGAAAAAAAGTTACCTCTATACAAATGATGTTTGCCAATATCCGGCAATATATTTTGCCTCTTTTACTTCTTCATTTCTTGCTGGCATGACCAATGAATCAAGGAACCAAGATCAACGATAAACTCTTGGCTTATAGGCAAACACACATTGCGCCCGTCCAACATTGTGTCTGTTTGTCTCGCCTATAGAGATGGTTTGTGTTTGAAAAAGCTATATAATCATCCACCAATCCTGAACTGTCAAATTGTTACTAAGCTCCACCTTGTTTTTCGTTTTCGCCAATTCCATTCATTGCCCATCACCATTCAGGAATGATCCAATTCGATTAAATGATGGGGACATAGTAGACAAATATCATTTGATTGTAATTGATGATTCAATTTGTTCGATTACCAATAATATTTTCAATCACAGCACAAACAAACAATTCAATCCATAGCAAGACTATTAATGCCATCTATGATCGTCGATAGAAAACAAACTTGAAATTGTCAAATAAGTCGCCATCTATCAAATGAGAAATGAAACGTTTTGCGAATGTTTCCAAATAAAACAATACGCATGTGTGAATCGGAAAATATCCAGCTGCATATTTGTCACTTTTAGTAAAATTTTTTCAATTTAATTTGTTGAGAAATGATTTTTCCTCTTTACTTATCGATTTCGGTGCATTCAAGAAATCAACCGCGTTAAGTAACGTTTTTGATTCTCGTTCTGATTATCGATCGGAAAAAACTCAAGGTAAGAGGCAAAAGCTGTGAATGTTGTTTTCGTTTCTGTTCAATTGAAACCACTTTGTTTGCTATTTAAACAGATTTGATTCGAATATGGTTTGCTCATTGACCATAGCATCAAGAATTCATCGATCGCGATTGACCAGTGTCTATCATCAATGGTTTACGATGAGCATGATGAATACCTCGTCATTATCATCGGAAGTAAAACTAGATAAATATGATCAAAGCCAAATTGATTTGCTCAATGAAAAATGCATTCTGGTCGACGAAAATGATCAAGTGATTGGCAGTGAATCGAAAAAAGCCTGCCATTTGATGACCAATATTGACAATGGTCTTTTACATCGTGCCTTCAGTGTTTTGATATTCGATTCAAATCGACGATTTCTTCTGACACAAAGATCAGACAAGAAAATCACATTTCCCGGTTATTATACCAATACTTGTTGTAGTCATCCGTTGTATACACCGTTAGAAATGGAATCGGACGATGCTATCGGTGTCAAACGTGCCGCTCAACGGCGTCTTCAACTGGAATTGGGTATCAATCCGTTAGAGATACCGCTGTCCGAAATGAAATTCATGACTCGTTTTTTGTACAAAGCACCATCCAACGATATCTGGGGTGAACATGAAGTTGATTATGCATTGATCGTTCATCGTGATGTCAACGTTAATCCCGATCCAGATGAAGTAAAATCCTATCGATTTGTTGGCCGTGATGAATTGCTACCATTTTTGGATGCTGAAAATGAACGTGGTTCACCTACTACACCATGGTTCCGGATAATGTTGGATAAATTCTTTTTCAAATGGTGGGATAATCTTGATAATCTAGATCAATTTGTTGAGCCGGATAAAGTTTACAAACTTTAGTTATTTTTACCAAAAAAAAAATTACAAAAATTGTTTATGACGACTGCATTCATCGCCACTGGATGGCACCACTATTTTTATTTTGAAATTTTTTATTTTTTTAATAAAGTTATTTGAATGAAAAAGATTTTTGTTTTTGTGTCGTTTGGAATGTTTTGATTTTCGATTCTAATAAAATTCATATTCAATGACAGTTTCTTGAATTCTAAGCTTTTTTGTAGAATCGAATCGAAGATGCCCGGTAAGCGAAGGTACCATGATGATGGAACGGTTTTTTCCTGACAATAATCGTTTACCGCCTATTGTGTGAGATATGGCAGCAAAAAACAAGATGCCAAAACACAGTCGTTGTTCGTCGGTTCCTACGAGACCGATTCCATTCTCTCGAATCTCGATATATTTCACACCAAGCCAATAAAGCTTAGGAACAGGAATTTAATAAACTTCAGTCATCACCATCATCAACAATAATAATAACAATACTTATTGTATGAACTTGGCATGATATAAAACTAAAGTAAATTTATTACACATCCAGAGAAAGACTCCCTTCTCTGTCATTCTTTCTACCAACCCTGTATGTGGATGGAAAATTAATCTGTGTTTTTCATGTGTGGATTCTTCTTGTTTTAGAAAAATTTAGTTATTTTTTTGGTTGTCATCATCATCACTATTCGATTAGATTTCTTCTTTTTTTCGGAAAAAATAGCTAAATTACCAAACAACCAAAAACACAAGTGACGAAGTGAGAGAAACATTCCAAACGAAAATGTTAGAAGAATTTGGATCGGTCTTCGAAATCGGTTTAGTTATTGAAGAATCGTCATGATCGTGATAGTTGTTGTTAATTAAATTGTCTAACAGGAATTCCTCACTTCGGATTCCATTCGATTTAATAATAATGTCAACCAACCAACTATCAATTGTCATTGTTGCTATGGCAATTGCAACATTCGATACAGAACAAAAAAAAACTTTATTTTTTATTTGAACAAAAAAAACAAAAAGGGAATCATGGTTGGATAGATATTAGGATCGAATGAAATGAAATGAATTACATGATGCAGCATAATAATAAGGAGATGGAAAAAATGATTTTCAAATATTGATTTGGATCAAAATAGCTGGTTGATTCACCTGCGATCAAAGATAAATTGAATTAGAGAGAAAGAGAGTCACACACAGAAACAGATAGAGATAGATAAAGATAACGTAGATTAACGAATAGTCATTACTGAATGATGCTCCAATGCTTTACGTCGTAATGCAGCTAAAGTTGAATTGCTTTGTCGTTGCCAAGTTGCGGCGGTTGTTGAATCGCTGTTGTTGTTGGAACATAGCCAGTTATTAGAAGATCCTACAGTACTATTGGCTGCCGTACCATTACTGCTACTGTTGTTACCAGGTGAACAAGATGATGATGAGGATGAGGATGATGCAATGGTAGAGGTGGTGGCCGTGATGGTCGTTGCTATCGATGATAATGAGGATGATGATGCAGATGATTGCCCAGTTGGTGATTGAGTTTCTGGTGGTTGATTCGGTGTTGGTGGCGAACAATTCAGCGAATTGGTTGCGGCTGTTGCCGATGTTGATGAATAAGCAGCTATTGCCGCTGCTGCTGTTGGTATCGCATACTGTTGACTTGCAGTACCACCGCCGCCGCTTTCGAATGATGGTATTGCTAATGATGTTGTGGTAGTCGTGGTAGATGGTGGTAATTGTCGCAATGTATGTCCAATATTTGAAAGACTATGTGATGACATTCCTGCGGATAATGTTGTTGTTGGCCATCGTGAATCGATCATATGATTGTGTGCGCTAACACCAACACCGCTACCAATCGGATGACCAAATGTATTACCGCATAAGGAATCAGCGTTGACTGAATTCACAACATTGGCTGCTGTACAACCAACGACAAATGGATTCATTGATAAACTACTGCTATTGTTACCATGATGATGTGATGCTGTAGTATTGATCGGTAATAATGAATTGGTCGCACGAAAGATATTGTTGTTGGTTTTTTTGCGTTTTTTCCATTTGGCTCTGTGCAATCGTCAATCACAAAGTAAGACATTGAAAGGAATGTGCAACAAGATAAACCTACCTTCGATTTTGAAACCAAACCTGCCAGACAAGCGAAAAGGAAAAAGAAGAGAAAAAAGAGAAAAGTATGAAATGATTATTATTTTGTTATATCATTTGATCGATAAATGCTCTATGATAGTTCCTTAGGTAGTGTAAGCAGGCAAAAAACATCAATTAAATTGGCCATTCTGATTTCTCAGAATTTGGCAACAAAATCAAAAATCAAAACAACAAATCAAATAACAACAACCACAGTAGTAAAAGTCGATTGGCTTTTCGAAAAACATTAGGCATAACAGATCTTCAATGTAGACAATACACACTGTTGGCATCATCACACATCTGACAAAAAGCTTTTAAAAGCTCAATTTAGACAGGACAAATGTGTGTATAATTCTTGTGTGTGACATCCATTTCCCAGATCAGTTTCAGTGACAAAACATAAACAAAAAAAGGAGTTTCTCAGTGCACATTCTTTCGGTTGTGCAGGAGAAAACACGCATTCAACATCAGCAACGATGATGACATTTTGAAACATCCCAAGGAAGATATAGCATTTTGGATTCCAAATTCCCAATGTCCCAGTATACGTGTCGTCTTTTTTCGTTTTGGATGTTCGTTTTTTGACTTTTTGAGCTATCTCTCTCTCTCTATATATATTTTTAATGGATCTTTTTTTCATTTTGGATGGAGAGATTATTTTTTGTGTTTAATGGGACAGCAAAACCACATTAATATGAAAAAAAAGAAAAAGAAAAATGCAAAATTGCTGTTTAATGTTGTCGTCGTCGTTTGTCGTTATGTCGTGGATAGTGTTTTCATTCATTTTCGCTTGCATTGGTTTTGCACGAGCGAACCAATCTTACATCAACGAACAACGCAATGAATGAGTGAATATAACGCGTTGTTTTTTATAGTCCCCGAAGAGAATCATATCGATAGTGTGGCAAAAAAGTGCCAAGAAATTCCCTTGGCACCATCATCATCATTTTCACAATATCGATCCATATGGCTTGTTTGTACCGTTATGTATGGCAAACATCTTTCTCTCGCTGCAACAATCTATGTGATACATCACTGTGTCAGATTCGTTTTGTTTTGTTTTGATCAACGATTCATGTAGCAATGAAATCGATGGTAAAAATCGGTGATCATTCATAATGATGATGATGATGAACAGTAAATATAAGTGACTACAGTGTGTGCAAGGGCAAAACAACGTTGCAGCACAGAATAGCAGAATACAATGATGATGATAAATAATCATTATTACTATTATCGTTATCATTATTATTAGCTCATCATAACCATCATCATTATTGTTATTATCATCATTGACTTTTTGTTCCATCAAACCAAACTGAACTGAAAAGGAATAACAGTATTTTTATGGTTGATCATCATCATCATTCTAAATTCAGGGAAGGTGAAAGAAAAACAGTGTTTTTTGCAGCAGTAGTATGGCGGCGGCATTAAGTCAAAGCCCAATGATCATCACACACACAATGTATGTTTGTGATTAACGTTTTATAAAAATCACAATTCAAGCTCAGTGTTATTATGGCTACTGCTCTAGCCAAACGAATCGAACCGATTTCGTTTTCGTTTCGTTTTTTGCCTTTTTTGTCCATGGTGTCCCAGGAGAGATATTCTATACAGAGGAAAAACACATCACCGGTTCTTCTTTTTTTTCAAACAAAATATCTGGCCAAAACAAACATTGGACAAAATTTTTTTCTCATTCATTCCACCGAATTTCCAGACAAGACAAACGACCAACAACAACATTATTTAGCCACACATTCAGACAATGGATATGGTCATCAGCGAATGTTTTTTCTCGTGCACCTTTAGCTCTCAAATTGACCTGTTTAGTTCTGTTTTTCAGGTGTTTGGTTGATTCACGTGAGAATTTCCATTTGGTGACAAAAGTCTAGACAACCAATATCATTGGGTTATAAATGGTTTATGGTCACTATATTGACAAAACACACACTTGGACCACACACAAACAAATCAAGAAATCAAATCAACAAAACCTATACCATACCTGAACACGTGATTCTGTCAAACCGATTCTCATTGCCAATTCCTCACGCATAAATATATCTGGATAATGTGTTTTACCGAAACTTCGTTCCAATTCCTGAAGTTGTTGTGGTGTAAATCTAGTTCGATGACGTTTTTGTTTTGATTGCTGTTGTTGTTGTAGTTGCTGTTGATGATGATGATGTGGGTGTGGATGCGAATGTAGGTGTGTCGATTGTTGTTGATGAGGATGTTGGGGATGAGAATGGGGGTGTGTCGGTTGTTTACCGTTATGATGATGATCAATAGAATTGTTGTTGTTGTTATTATGAGCAATAATCGACGATAAATCGGTTCGATTGATTGATGAATTCATCAATAGCTGTTGTTGTTGTTGTTGGTGATGTGAATTATGCAGCGAATGTTGATGATGATGATGAAGATGATCATCATTTTCCAATTGATGATGACCATGATGTTGATTAGTAGTGGATGTTGTTGTTGTTTCCCCACTAAGTAGATCTAAATGTTGTTGTTGTTGGTGATGCGGATGATGATGATTAAAATGATGAAGACCATTATCATTATTGCTATGATGCAATTGAAGATGATGATGCTGAGATGATTGTTCGGACGATGGTTGTTGTTGTTGATGATGCTGATGTTGATTTTGAGTTTGTTGATGATGAATTTGTTGGTTGTTTTGGATTTGAGTCGATCCATTGGGTCCGTTGCCACCACCACCAAGCAGCATATTATTATTCTGGGCACTTTTGATTAAATCTAAATTGGTTTCTTTTGTTGCTATTCGCAAATCAAATCAATTGGCAAATCAATTAACAAATCTATCAACAAATCAATCAATTTCCGAAAATTCCAGACTTACCAAAAGGACTTGAAACTGTGACAGAAGCAGCGGCCGCAGCAGCTGCTGCCGCTGCTGCAGCCGAATTTGAATGAAAATTGTTCAACATTGTTGGCCAAAGTGTTTCCCAAAATGCAGAATTGCCGGTGGATGCTGCTGCACCACCACCGGCTGTAGAATCGTAAAATTTCGATGATGCCGTGATTGCGGTTTGGTAATGATACGGATGATAAAATGTTGAAAGTGGAAAAGTATTTTCGACGATATAATTGAATTAATTGCAATTAACCTATATATGCTTAATGATGACGATGATTACATGGTAATAATTAGAAATTGTTATTATCGATTTTCCAGTGTGCCGAAAAGGAGGAGCAGGGGCAAAAATGATGATGGCGGTGGTCACAAGAAATCAAACACGAAAAACAAGGAAAAAATTCATTCATTTTAATTTTGATATTGCATCATGGATGATCCTGGTAGAATCATGGATGTATGTAGAGAGCGTGCAATAGGTGAACATAAAAACAAACAATCAAATTTAGTTGGGTTCACAATTCACAATTTACAGCTAAAGTGACAGTAACAGTGAGTGGGAGCCCACTATATGTGTTGTAAAGATTAATTAATTAATCAATTACCTTGATCATCAAAGATTAATAGGATATTTTCGGCCTTAATGTGAATATATGACTTGTTCACTTCCATTCAGACCCTAGGGTTGGTTGCTTGCTTGTATGTGATTGAATGGTTGGCCATTGAATAGATGTGATGTGGCGGTGGTAATCATTATTTGGTGATATTTGAAACGAAAAATTGCCAACCAAAAAATCTCTCAGTGTGTGTTCATACAAATATAATGAATAAATAAATGATGGCAACCACTACCCGAAAAACAAGCAAACCGAAAACTCTTGTTTCAATCTGAGGATGATGATGACATGAGCACAGCGCATCCATTCAGCATACATTTCCCTCCTTTTCCTTGTTTGTCAGTGCAAGTGAACACGAACATCCAAGACACACCCTTATTGGTTCATTCATAATTGATTAGCCGAAAAATAACATTTGTGGGTGGTTTCTGCACGATTGCTTCCACCAATCACATTCGGGTTCATCTTGGGTGATACTCTATCGATGAATGAATGAAAAGCTTATGGCTGAACCTATTTTACCGACCGAAACTGGCAATAAAAAATTGACTGAAAAATGCTTTTTTGCAAGTAGGATTTGCATCTGGCCCGTAAGAAATTGTCATCGAAAATCCTATTCTACACTCTCGGAACATGATCGATGGCCATTTTGTAATGTTTGTTTGTTCAATATGGAAAACACGTTTTTTCAAATATTTTTCCAAAAATCGATGGTCAAATCGAAAAGAAGAAAAAAAATTAAATAAATTGAAATAAAATTGTAAAGCAAAGAAGGTTAAGAGGGATCAAATCGATTTTCGAAAAAAATGACACCACAAATCAGCGTCGAAAGAGAAATGGAATCGAATTTTCTTCTTTTCTGAAACTAAATGAACAGATTGAATTATCGGTGGTGATGGAAAAACATCATTCAACACCTTCGACACACACACACACGAATGTATTGCATGTTTAATGACCAATGGTCTAATTATGGTTAGTTTTTGGTGATATTTGTTTTGGAAATTACCGTTTCGAATCGGTTCATTGACTGTTGATGGTGATGATACCAGAATCAATGAATTAAATTGAATGTTTGTCGTAGGAACGAATTAATTTAATTCAAAACTCGATAGGAAACAATTCAATTAGCTTTTTTTTGTTGAATAAACGAAACATAGTTGCACCGTTTAATATTGAATTTAGTTACCGGTCCTATGTTGTTTTTGGGTTTTAAGGTTACGTGTGTTTATGTTAGTTACGGGAGAAAAAGTCGCGTGTCCAATATATTCGCTGCATGTATGTTATCCATGTACATCACAGCAAGCGACGTGATTTAATCGTTTATTTGATATTTGATTTGATTAGATGTAGACATAGCACGTGTATGCATCCATGTTAAATGTCTACATCATCATCATTGTCATCGGGATATGCGTGCTAGGCTAGTGATCTGAAAATCATTCATTTAGTCAGTCAATTTGACATTTTTATTAAAAAAGATTCTTTTTGGATCTTGGTTTGGGTGGAGAATTTTCCATACACCGTTCCGGTCACATGACATGAATTATTATCATATCATGTCATATCATGTGGTTCGCAACATTTGGGCCTTCGCCATCATCAATTAGTTGGATCACATTATCCTCGTCAATGACCGGTTTTCAAATTGGAAAAATATTTTCGAATGAAAAGAAAATCTTGGATCTTCATCAAACTGCTGCCATCTATTGAGCTGGATTACATCCACATCGATGCCTCGGACGAATTATTCAATTTTCTTTCCATATTCATGGATGGCAGCAGTTGCCATATGCTGCTTGAATTTTTTTTTTTGAACAAAAAAATGAAATCTCAGAACTCAGAATGCGCACAATCCTACGATTTTCCGTTTCCCGGTTTTTTCTCTTTGTTTGTAATCGTCTTTGGGGATGTAATCAAACACACACAGACACTGTTATCACATGCGTTCCACTCGAACGATTTTGAATTTACGTTTGTTTGGGCGCCAAAGTTTTGTTTCGTGAACTTTTATTATTATTATTCGTCGTGAACTGTGCTACGATCCAATCGAGCAGGACCAAAAAAAATCCTGTTTGGAATCCGACGACGACGGTGCCCATTTAGCAGCAGCCAGTACAGCATCCACAACCAAAACTGATGATGATACATGCTGTCGGTGTTCCAAAACACAATGTGCGTGCGTATCGTTTTACAAAACATCACATTCATTCTGCATCTTGCACACCACCAGCATCATTTGCCATCAAAGCAAAGGAATCAATTCGGTCGGTATTTGAATCGTTGCAGTCAGTTCAGTTTAGAATGTTGTTTATGCACACACATTATTCAACCGAAAAAACATGGTCATCATTTTTATTTTCTGTTTGATGTGACACTGAACCCAAACTGAATTCTAATTATGTTTTTTAATTAAAAAAATCCCAGACAAAAAGCTTGTTTAATTGGCAACGACAACTTTAATTTTTTTGTTTGTTTCAGATGAATTTGTCACATGTTTTTTGTGCGACAAAGTTCATATAATGTTATATCCTCACTGTGCTGTGTTTTCGTGCTTTTAGTGATTGTGCTGTGTTGTTTGTTCGTTATCCTCATCGTCTGCTGAAAAGTCAGTTCGATCCACATTTAAGGTATGATGGTGAATATTAATATTATTTTTTCATTAAAATAACCTGTCCCTCTCTCGGATGAGTTTCATCTGCCGTTATAATAACGAATCGATCCGATTCTTTTTGCTCTATGGTTGTGATTATGATTTATTTTCTTCTTTGATTCACTTGGTAAATGAATGTCATTCACAAAATGATGAATCTCTGTGTGATTTTGATGCTCTCATGGGGATAGGATTCTTGATTCTGTCCAAATCTGCCCAACACTGGGATCAATCATGACAAACAAAAATTGAATTGGTTAAAGATTGTAAAGTAAGATAACCGAGAAAAAAATCTTTTAAATTTTTGTTTGTTTTTTCGCCCGAATCAATCTCGACTCCAAGAAAGAAAGAATCTATATTTTATTGAGTCTTCGTTGTTGTTCACTTATGATGATCATCATCATTGACATCAAATTGTCGATTTTTCTTCTTCGTTTCTCGTTTCGTTTTGTGGTGAATGGCTTTTAATGTATCTTTTTCATCCAGGGATTGTTTTTCTTCCCCTCCGTTCACCAAAACGATCATCGGTTATGTAACTGAACTGTGTGTTGTGTTCATAGTCGATTTGTTTCTTTTTCTATTCTGGTTTAATAATTTATATTTTTTGTCAGTCCAAATATAAATGATAGGATTGGTGTTTGAGATAACCAAAAACGATCAACCCAAAGAAAAGATTTTTTTCACTTGTTCAGTAAAAGATCTGTAGTTGATCGAGATCAAATTGTGTATGATGGCTGGATGGAGAAATTTGTTTTTTTTCATAAATTTTCATCATCACTTTTAAAGCATTTCTCCGCCTTATCCATTTTGGTTCTGATTTGTTTTGATCGTTTTCTTCTATTGCTTTCAATTTTTTTGCAAAGTGATCGCGGAGCGAAAAAACAGTTATTATTTAAATTGCTTGCTTAATGTTTGAAACAAAAATTTCAAAATTTTGTTTTTTTCACTTCATTTTGCAAATGTCCAGTGCAAACATCACCACTTGCAAAATGGAAACAGAAAATTAACGAAATTTGTCCTGGTTTCGAGTTTTTGTTTGATTTTCGTTCGTCTGTTTCTGTTGGCAAACAAAACTTTTCCTTTTTAATCGAATGAACAAACATCATGAATGAATCTTTTTTGCCCGGGTCCCGGTAGATTCATTTTCTTCTTCGTTTCGTTTTGGGCTTTCAAAGGGAGGCATTCGTTTTGATGCTTGTTTAGTTTCGTCGTCATCGATTGCGGATGATTCCGTTGGATTCAATTTCAATCAATTCATCAACTCAATACAATTCAATACCAACCGACCAATCTGATCTAATTCGGTCAGTTCAGTCAGTTCAGCATTGAATCAGAATTCATCATTTTCATCACGAAAACTAGTTTTTTTCATTTTTTCTTTTGGTTGTTGTTTAGGTAATAACAATAATAATAATAATAGTAACCATTGTAGGCGGATAAAATGCATTGAATTGATGTTAAGTTTCAGGTTCCAGAATCTTGAAACTTGAAATGATTTTGTTCTCCTGTTTTTGTTTTGTTTTGTTCCACTCAATCACTTTGTTGTTGTTGTTAATGTTTCGATTCAAACAACAAGAAAAATTGATTCATTCGACAGGGAAATGGGAAATTCGGAATTGCTTTTTTCCTGTGCTGTCCAGTTCGATGATGATCTAACTGAAACGATTTCTATTTTGAAAGTATCATTCATTGTTGTTCAAGAAGAAGATTCTTTCGACTGGAATAAAAGGATCATCATCATTTTTTTGTTACTTTTTTTCCTGTGCTGTGTGTGTGTCGCTTCACTTCATCCTGGGTCCACCAAGATCAGTTGTTGATGATGAGATTCGTTAATTTTTTTAGTTTTTTTTGAACATAAAGGATATTCGAAATGAAAGAAACTTGAATTCTTAAAAAAAACTTTAATTTAAACTCAGTGAATTGATTTTGAAGAGAGAAAGAGACAAAAAAGGAAACGCGAAAAAAGAAAACCTTTCTTTTTTTGTTCGTTAGTGAATTTGGCCGGTGAAGAAAGAGAGAGAAATGGAGAAAAAGGCATTCGAGAATTAAAATTGGAAAATTTCTTTTCACAAAACCAAATCACACAAATCATAGCACACTTGAACAACAGAGCATATTGAATTGAATGAATGAAAATGAAACCCATCGTCGGGATCATTGCGTG